ACTGCCTAAGACACCATCGTCTAAGATGAATCGAGGACTTTGTTGAAGTCAATGAAAGCGAGAAATAGAAGCACCTTGAAACATCGCGAGAGATCAATAAGTTGTCCGACCGTGTGGATATAATTTATAAAATCAAATCCGTTTCTGAACGCGTTCTTGTGTAACTGACATTTGTCGCATGTTCTGTCATTTCTCATTACCAATGCATTCCACATAGTTTGTAGGCAACTGATGTTGAACACATCAAACGGTATTTTTCGACTTAAGTGCTCAAGTACACGAATACAGTTCCAACGGCTTCCCATTGCTTAAGTACTCTCGTAGTGATCGAAAAGCCAATCCTGAATTCACGATGACTGGCGATAGGTTCTTCAAATATTCTGATGCTAGGTCCCAGACGAATGTCCGATACGTTTCACTCCAGTTGTTGTCCCGCAGAGCATCGACGACTGCAGACGCAAGCCTACCAAGCGCGACCAAAGGACTCGAAGGCATGTGAAAACGAAATATACGACGACATTTCAAAGCAGGTGGTTCTCGAGAAACGACAGATACTGTGTGAAGACCTTCGTCACCAAGTACATTTCTTGGAATTAACAAACAAGTAGCTTGACTGTGTTGGGTATTCTCATGCACAATCCCATTGCACAAAATCCCAAACTCATCAATACCTAGCGTCACTTAGCACACGTGTAAAACTCCATTGGTTTATGGTATTTAAAGACAATTTATTCGATTTAAACTGAAAAGGAAAACCAGTTTGGAGTGATGCTAAGAATTATTCGAACCTAAACACAACCACTATCCTACGTCCAACGTGCTATGTCCTTATGACTTTACTACAACTGTAATCGTCTTGACAGATATTTAATGTTGTTATTCTTTACTAATTACTATTTATGTTTAGATGATGTAACTATGTTTACAATTATGTTGAAAAACCCTCGGCGACAAACGAAATAAAATCATCTTAATCAACACCACTAATGGAATAGTTGAAAGAATAAGAAAATGAAGTCTGGTCGCTACCGTACAAAAAAAACAGCAATCTTCATTAAAACGGCCCTTCATTGATTTAACCGAAAAAAGGTAACTCGCGTTGTGGCACGTAATGCGTTGGGATGACGAACGTCTAGTTGAAGTGCCGACCAGCGCTGCTATGGAGATCGTTCACACGCCTCGCACTATTGAAATTGTTAACGGCCCTCTCGACATCACCATAAGCACATTCTCTCCAAGGATATTAGTACCGTATAAAAGGATAAAGATAAAGCTCTCGACGTTGATCAATCACTGAGGGATGCGTCATGTATTCAACTTCATTAAGCATCGTTGGAGGTGACTGAATTTATAATGATGAAACGTCCCTTCCAGATAAGTCTGGTACCAAATTGCCGACCTCGGGAAGATTGAGGTCATGGTAGGCATGGGGCGTGAAGATCGATCCCACGTATATTGCACGGCGCCTCTAACCACTGGGCTACATGCGTCTGTATCATTACCGCATGAACGATAAGCACACAGTAACTAATCAATACATAAACGACTCGTAGTTCTAAACAAAGAAATGTTTTCTTTTCAGTAGCTGCTTCGAAGTTTAAATAAAGAAAATGTCCTTTAACTTACAAAGTACGAATAAGAGAAGGAATCTCTTCATTAATAAGGGAATCTGTTCAATCCTCAGGAGATAATTTTCCTAATGTTGTCACTTCTTATTTACTGCCTGCTCTTTTTTAATGGCAAGGTATTAACTATGTAAAATATAACCATAATGATGCTGAGATGTTTGCACTCACATGGTGTGGTAGTGAACGTGTTAGTCCTCGGCAAGGGTAACAATCCGGAGTTTTGCAAACAACTTACCGTCATTGCAAGTTTCCTACATTGTAGTAAAAAAAAAAAGATGTAGTCGTATACAAGCAATTAATGGTACTTTAACTAGTTCTAAATTCTCATAGAATAACCGAAGAAAGAAACAGCAGTCGATCATTTGGAATCGTATCACAGATGTTTACGCAATGAGCATTTGTTTGCTGTGCAAGTGCCCCGAAAGAGTAAGCTGCGAAAGATCGAGATTTTAAAACCGGATTCTATGACAATAATAAAGATATTGGCACAATAAAATAGTGAAGCAAAAAATGTCGGAAACTCGCTAATAGAACGAACTCGAGGGAAAAGCACCGAAGCAAAGAAATTTCCGATGGAAAAATTTGTTTTAAGGAAACCAAGAGGACATCCAATATCATCCAATATAAATGCGACTGAATCAGATGCAGGGATATAGCAGAAGGAAAAAGCACAATTGCCCTACTTGGATTCTAAACCACCCCTGTTATACATGATGTTTGTATAAGATTAAAAATGGTAAAATGAATTAGCATAGGACAACTTTTCTAAACAAACGAAAGTAGTAACAAAGAAAAAGAAAGAACGAGGAATCTTTACTTTAAAGTAATTTATCGGAAAAGTAAAACACCCCAGAACAAAACCTACTTTAATAGTATAATCCTTTGAACAACGAGCTAGCTGCGCTTTGACTAGTTCATTACAAATAAGGAAAGAAAAGAAGAGAAAAAGAAGAAAGAAATCAAAGAAGACAGAGAAAAGCTCAAGAAAAATCGACGACATCAAAACCAAAGATACGTCTCGAAGACGAAAATGAACCCACTGGGCCAACCATCCCTCACAAGATGCACGTGAGTCATCTTTGTGTGCTGTCGGCCACACGTGAAGCACTCGCGCCGACGTCTCGACGCTTCACAAGCTTACGACTGGGAACGACCGAACTCTCGATAGTAACACAAAGCGATGGACATTAGTGAAGTTAAGATAGAAAAAGTCCGAAGTTCTGCGACGAGAACCACCGATATTTCTCAAAATTTCGCAAAAAAAAAGACGACGGCTGCAAGGATTTGGATAACTTGAAACTTCAAAACTGGTTTTAGTGTGTGAAAAGCAAAAAATCGATGGCGTCAAAGTGTTAGAAGTTCTTATCCATAAGTGTTAGGCAACAAAAAACAAAAATTCTACTGATAAAATTACAAAATTATGGAAGAACTCACGAAAGTCTCCCATCGAGCGTGAATTCCTGCACAACTACGTTGCTCATCGACATCAAACAAAATGAACTGTAAAAACAAATAATTAAACTGAAGGAGATAGGTGGAACACCAAGGAAAAGTCCGTAGAACTCACTTCAGAACGATTATATCAAAATTCTGTTGTCGCTAACATATCTATACGAAAGCCCAAAGCGGGCTACCCTACTTGGAACGACGCAACTAAGCACTAAACCACTAAGTCCGCCTGTTGCCTTGTTAATATTTCACGAGAGTCTCTTCGTTGGAGAACATTAACCATCATAAAAGCTTTACTTTAAAGTAATTTATCGGAAAAGTAAAACACCCCAGAACAAAACCTACTTTAATAGTATAACCCTTTGAACAACGAGCTAGCTGCGCTTTGACTAGTTCATTACAGATACTTGATTACCTAAATGAAAAATAGTAACTTCTCTCTAATACATGAAAGATGCTCGATAAACATGAGAACACTGTGGAAAACGTCTACGACTATTAATTACCACCAGTATAGAAAACTGGTCACATAACACAATGATTCACAGGATCAGCCCTCTCTACCAAATCGAGCACAACATTTCCATCTTCAAGTTCATCGTACAGCAGACTATTAGAATTTGCAGGATCAGCCCTCTCTCCCAACCGAGCACGATTTCGACATCTCCATTCAGAAGCTCATCGGACGGTAGACCATTTAGAGAAGTCACCACCTAGTTGATAACAACGAAATCGTAGGACGCAAATGTCCCTCAAGCAACGACCAAAGATTGCTAATGTCACGACGAGGGAAACCATAGGTCCTGCTATCCGGAGATCCCAAGGAAACGAATCCTGCTCAACCAACACGTTACCAATGAAAAGGAAACCGTGTTAGATCTCACACGAATCTGAAGTATACGACCAGGATCCGAACCACGATCCCGGTTCTGCAAAAATAATAAAAGCACCGATATTAAAAAATGAACCATCACAATTCTGGAACTTGAAAAACGAGGACAACATCAGAGCTGTAACCATGCTTCCCAAATGAACCACGATAACAAAAGCTCCACATGTTCGTTTACTTTTTCGGCTGTATCCTTTACCTAGTGCACACCACTTCCACTTTTGATCCCTCCAAAGTAATAATGTGGTAGCACCAAAACAATTAAAACGATGAAGCTCTCGGCGTTGATCAATCTTTGAGAGATGCACCTTACACACGGTTCCCGATATATCGAGCCAATGCTGCCATTCTCCCAGACAAGTTTGATACCAATTTTCCGACCCCGGAGGAATGGAAGGATTGGTGGGCCAAGGACGCGGGAATCGGAAATGTATATTGCAGGGCGCCTGCAACCACTGTGCTACACACGTCAACACACAAGTACTAATCTTTAAATTCAACTGTTACGGATGTGATGGACGGGAGTATGGTAGTAGAAGCAGATGCAGGTGAATGAAAACGACCAGCCAAAAAACTCTAGACGGTACAGCAGCACCAATCTCGTTGAACTGCCCAAGGTCAGCAAAACCAAGTAAAAGCATGGGCAGTGTCATAAAGTGTAGGCAAAAACAAGGATGAAAACAGAAAAACAACGATATAATTTCCGGAAATAACACCGGCAATGATCAAGGCACACGATTTTCATACAACAGTTCTACCCCAGACAACTGTGTTTGGTAAGTCACACATTGTGATAACCAGTAATAAACAAAAAAAACACTTTAAAAACAGTGAGATTTTATTAGCATATGGAAAGCTGAATGAACCAAAGAGATCGAAACCACGTAAGATAAGTGAAGTCCAGAAATTTTAGCGTAGTATTGAAGTGACATAACCGATTCAACACGGACGGAATAGAAACGGCTGATAATACTTTCTTTAAGGCTACCGAGAGGAGAATATAGCATATGAAAAATTAGATCGTTTTCTACATATCAGCCAAGAAAATCCGGTTTTTCAGCCTGTGAATACAAATCTACCAATTCCTGTACTCGTTCAGCAGAACTGTCCATCATGTCAACAGTAAAGCCTTCCTAAAAATGAACTTGAAATAACAGCGATGACTGCTTCATCAAGCATAACAAACTTTAGTGAGTGATCTAACAATTTTGCAAAAGGCAACTGATTCAAACCTCTTTTTGGAATCGATCAATGAACGCATTCTTAGTGCGAAGACGAGCAAACTGCTGAAGGATTCGTTCAAATAGGGGTGCGATACTTGTGTTGTTATTCAACATGAGACCAGATACCTTAATAAGATTTCAGTAACCAAAACTCTTCAAAAACGACAAAAGATAAAGCTCTCGGCGTTGATCAGTCCCTATGAAATGCACCATGCATTCGACTTCACCAAGCATCGTTGGAGGTTATTGAATGCATATCTGGCCGTTACAATGACTCGCGGTGGCCTACCAATGTATCCAGCCAGTGCTGCTTTCCTCCCAGACAAATCTGGTACCAATTTGCCGACACCGGAGGGATAAAAAGCTTGGTAAGCTAAGTGGCGCGGGGATTAATCCCGTGTGTGTTGAAGGGCGCCTCCTATCACGGCGCTACACGCGACCTAGCAACTGTATATGGTCTATAATCAAACTAACTCATTCAACACAACCTTCCATCACTTGGATCCATTTGTGTAACAACAAGTCGCAAAAATCTTCACGTAATTTCTCAATGCTATCCACCGACAGCGATGCTAAGATATTTGTAAGACTCCGAACCGCGGCTGTCTGCTGTGAGGATGGGACACGACATTACCTTTCCCGGGGGCTAACGTGTTCACCACGCGGTTCTTCCGTTTCGACTTTCTCTCAGCTGTGTTTTATAGGTGCTATCAACAATGACCGTCGACGGGATTAAAATGGGAAGCATAAATTGGCATTGAACCGTTAGGCTGAAGCTGCGGTATAAATCACAATGCAATCACTTTAAAATGTAGCCATTCACTGATTTTCAACTGGTCATTACTTTAACATCACACATGAAACGAAGTCTCAAAAATTAACCTGAACACATAAATCCCTTCACTCATAAAGTGGGTACTACTAAGCATTTTATTCATCCATCCTGGCTCATTGTGCACTAGTCGATTGAGAGCAATGACTAGCGTTACTTCTAGACAACGTCCTTTATTTCTACCGTATCCGGCCACACGCCACATACGGATAGAGCATCAGACACTGCTGAATGGTCCGATAAATTAAAGGTTGTCGAGCTTTCTAAAGTGTAGTTGAGGGTAAGAAATCTTAGACCGCTCTTACATCATTCCCTTTCATTGTTTTTTGCAACCCTTGGCCAAGGAGAAAAAAAGATTGGAGACAATCAACACATACGCCAGCACACCAGCTCACATTTCCCTAGACATGGTTAAGTGCATGTTACAGGTAGATCTAACTCTAGCTCATAAGTAACAGTGAGCCGATCCCTGAAATCCTCTCGGGTCCCAGGTAATTTCACAGCGGTGTTTTTATCCGCGTTCCCATCCCAATCCAATCCCAGCTAAAGCCCCATGTAAAAAAATTTAACTTCATTCACAAATCCCCTGCAATCTAATCCTATTGAATGGATATAAATTAATCAATGGACGGTGATAGATAGACGTCTTTTGACGTTGTAAGTCACGCTTGTAAGCCCTAATAATAGACTGAACTACTTCAAAGGTAAGGGATAAAAGAAAAGGATAAAGCTCTCGGCGTTGATCAATTCCTGACGGATGTACCATGCATTCGACATCATTGAATATCGTTGAAGTGACTGAATGCATATCTGGCCTTCACAATGACTCGCGGTAGCCCACCGATGTATCCAGCCAGTACTGCTATTCTCCCAGACAAGTCTGGTACCAATTTGCCGACCTCGGAGGGATGGAAGGTTTGGTGGGCCATGGCGCAGGGATCGATTCTACGTGTGTGTCGCAGTGGCGTCTCCAGCCACTGCGCCACTCGCGCCAATAAACACTTCAAAGGTATAGTAAACAATAAAAGATTGAAATAGGAAAATAAAGAAACCTTGTACTGTGCCTTTACATATGGAGATGACGGCGTATGCAAAATTCGCAAAGGATTCATGAAGTCCCATGGCGCTCTGCGAATTGCATTAATAGAATTCTGAAATCGATCAGATGTTTTATTATTGGTAACATTCGAAAACTGTCAAGAAAATGCATTGCTAACGTATGTGCCAAAACTTACATGTCCAGATAAACAAACTGTGTTCACATCGGAAGATGTGACCTGACCTTGCAGAAACAAGAATGCAGACAGCATACAATGTGTAGGTCGAGTCATACTCGCAGTGGAAACCTATAGTGACAGATCCGAGACATCACTGATGAAAAACGTTACCCAAAACGTAGCAAACTTCACAAGAATGGGTTAAAAACTTACCATCATGGAGGATGGTTTGAGCAAATTTCGAACAACATCGGCAACTGATGTTTTTCTGGTGAAAGACTCATTCGGATCGACGACGGGCGAAAATCCTAAGAAAAATTGAGCAGTTTGGTGAAATCGATGACTATAAGAACAAAGGCCGTATGTATTACCTGCTTGAATAAAGTGCAGCGGTTGAATCGGGGACAAACACATGGAACGTATAGAGGTAAGGATGTGCGAGTCGAATCTGAACATCGCTGTTGATGTGGACATGATTCGAGTCACCTGGAAATAAGTGAACCAACCCTGAACAAATAGGAGTATTGAACTGCAGATAAATCAACAACTACACAAACTAGGTACAAGAAATTAATAATGCAAACCAGTGAGTTTATATGGTCAAAGGTGGGCTCTTGTGTCTCAAACTTTCCGGCGGCTAATCTATTCAACGCAGCGTTGTCAATTACAACTACATGATCTGAAAGGGAAAGATGTCCAATGAAATTCGACCGTCAAATTTCCTAACCTGGAAAATCGATAAGTCTTTCCAATGACAACACTGAATTGTATGGATGGACTATCACATCACTAGTGTCTTCATGGTTCGCAAATACAGAAAATGTTTGAATGACCTTTTTTGGAAATCTGAATCAAATCACATTTTACCACACTGTCACAATGTCGTTAACAGAAGGAGAGAAAAAAAGGCAAAAAAAATAACACAACTGACTGAACCGTACTTGTCGCGTATTTTTTCGAGAATTAGTGATCCCATTCCTGATCCGGTTCCACCAGAGACGGAGTGTGTGAAGAGGAACCCGTCCATCTGATCACTGTTTTCTGACTCACGTTCGATCATATCCAGTATTTGTTCATAGACTTCACTTAGAAACGAACCATCTTCATGAACGACAAAAGCTGTTCAAATCTACAATAAAGGAAAACAAAACGTACATATTTAAGAATAACGTCCTACCTGCCCTGTCCATATCCACTAGCCCAATTATTACCAGCACCTCCGCCATGTGTAGACATGTAGACATTGTCAGGATTGAAAAGTCTACTGAAGTTTTCGCTAGTCATAATTCCATTGATAACCCGTGGTTCCAAATCGACCAAAACAGCACGTGGAACATAATGGTCGTCATCAGCCTATAATACCTCTCTTATAAAATCCCTGTTCGGGAAACCAAGTCGTTAAGATGAATTAGAAAGTTGACCTGATAGAAAAAAACATCTTTGTTGTCATGAATGCTCTCTTCGGACGTCATGCGACCTCTTCTGCAATTTACGGTAATGGAAATTTTAGACGCACTAAAATTGTTCCCCACCCACATGCGTACATCGAAAAATAAAGGAGTACTTGCAACAAAAGTTCATAACTAGCACCACCTCCCAGCGGTCTACTGCCTCATCGTGGCTGAGAGATGTTCCCCGGTGTCGGGGTTCGATGTACAGCTGGTGGATTCGTCCCTCCGGTAGGGTCTCCCATGATGAGGAGACCGGCGTTTCTATCAGGAAGTCCAGCTAAGAGTGAATCAATACCAGGATCTACCACCGTCCAGGTATCAAACTAGTCCCATGGTGTCAAATCTCTCTCTACTCCACAAGGACTGCGACTGTCCGTGATAGTGACAACCTGGGCAGAGTTTGGTAAGGCAGACCCTAGAGCTCCAAGGAGCCGCAATGGCTAAACCAGCAAAACTCCGAAACAATGAAGATTCTGCGGAGATCCGCGCTAACAGTGAAGACGGATCATCGAAGTGTCCAATTAACACTTTAATGGCTCGTCTTCACTGGTTGTTCAGACCCCACCACAATCTCCATTTTTCGGAGATTTATTGGTTAAGCCATTGTGGTTCCCCGGAATCCCGAGGTCAGCCTGGCCAAAGTCTGCCACAGGTCTTCACCTCCACAGGCAGTAGCACTTGAAGATCAGAGGGAGATTTGCCACCAAGCGACTTTGATACCAGAACGGTGGTAGGCCCTGGTATTGGTTTACTCTTGGCTAGGCTTCCTAGTGGAAACGCCGGACTCCTTTTCAGTTTGGGAGGCCCTGCCAGGGAGATGAATGCTCTTGCTGTACATCGCAACCCGACACTCAAGAATACCTCCCAACCACGATGAGGCGGTAAACCGTTGGGAGGCTCAGTACACTGCTTATGATATAAAAGGAAATAGTGAGAAGTCAGTTAAACCCTACCCATCAATGGCGTGCTCGTCGCAAAGAACCTTCCAGAAACTCTGACCAATTTGATTACCACACTGACCTACATGGATGCACATCAACTGGCCTTTGGTGTACGACATCTCAAACCAATGCACCTTAAAGAGATGCTTTGCCCTAAAATAAAGAAGTAAAATAATGCCTGCAGATGTCGGAAACGGAAGTGCACCACGTGGAGCCAGGTAATGTTCAAAGAAAAACAACTTCATGCAGGTACTACAGAGCGAATGTTGGCAAAAAATTTATCCAGTAAATGTAATACTGCGCTGAACAAAAACGACAAGAACACAAAATGACAAAGTGACAACAGTAACAGTAACAAATCTCGTTAGGCTTTACGTTTCCTAGTAAATTCGTCATAAGAGTCTTGGAATTTTCCACGTATATTAGCAAAGATCTGAAAATGAAAACTTGGGAATTCATTCTTTCGTTCATGACTCATTTCCATTGGAAGATAAACAAAAAGGATAAAGCTATCGGCGTTGATCAATCCCTGAGGGATGCGCCGTGCATTCGACTTCAGTAAGCATTGTTTGTAGGTGATTGAATGCATATCTGGCCATTACAATGATTCGCGGAGGCTAACCAATGTAACAAGTCAGTGCTGCAATCCTCCCAGATAAGTCTGGTACGAATTCGCCGACCCCGGAGGTATGGAAAGCTTGGTGGGCCATGGGCACGGGGATCGATCCCGTGGGTGTTGCAGAGCGCCTACGACCACTGCCGCTACACGCGCCGCAACCATTAGAAGATACCAAAGCGAAATCACACGAGAACATTCAAAGTCGAAATACCGTTTCTAAATGAGTAAGCGCTTCCAAGAGAACGGTGCCAGCTACCACACCATCTTTCGTTTGTAACCGCAGCAAAATTTTGTCCTCAAGTGGATGTGGCACATTGTATCCACAGAATTCGACACCAGGCCTGCAAAACTTCTGCAAAAATGTTGTCATCTTATTAGAAGCATCGTGTATAGAACTTCATTTCTACCAATCAAAGTGTTCCTTAAGTTATGCTAACAACCAATAAACGTTCAAATAAGGAACAGAACTGGGTTGTGAAACCTTACATGCGACAAAGAATGTGCTTGAGCGAATTCCCAATCGTATGATCTTCTTCTCTTAATATGAGAGTCAGACATGTCGAATCTTTACTGTATCCTTCAGAATCCAGCTGGAATTGATTAAATAACATCACTAAACTACTCTATCACAAGTGATAAGTCAAAAGGAGAAAAACTTAAAGAAAATGTTATAGAAGTAGATCCAAATTCGCTACAACGGTAAAAATTATGTGTTAACTCTCCTATTTATAATCATAATGATGCCGAAATATTTGCAAAACTCCGGTCCCTCGGTGTCCACGGCAAAGAACGAACACGCTTTTTCTCTTCCCAGGAGTGAAGACGTTCACCACCACATCAAGCGCGACCTTCGTTTCGCCTTTCGTTTCGCCTTCTTCTCAGCTCTGTTATTTACCTACACATGTTGTCAGCAACCACCCGTCAACAGAATTGGTTTGAGGAGCACAAAGTCGGCACTGAACCCAGTTAAGCTGAAACTGCGTTATAAATCACAATGTAATCACTTTTTACTCACTCTTTTAATGACAGGGTATTATGTGAATGGCATGGTGGTGAACACATTAGCCCCCCAGAAAGAGTAACAACGCGTTCGTTCCCCACCGCAGGCATCTGCGGGCCGCAGTTTTGCAAATATCATGGCATCATTATGGTTGTATTTCACATTGTACTCTGCCACAGCGAAAGATTAAGCAGTAAATAAAAAGTGTCTCCTATTTATTTTTAAATTCCCATCGGATAAACTTCAAAAAGAAAGGAGAGAAGACTTAGCAAATAGGTAGGGACCACAACTCTACTGTCACCTCTTCACCTCTAAAGGATTTAGGGAAAAACATCATGTGCAGACGAACATACCCTACCTACATTAGTAATATCTACTTCCTGTACAACACAACCACCACTTCTTGGTATACAAATAGATTGACAATACCATTTATTGGCCTGATTTGGTTCACCAAAACCTTTAAATAACCGATTCGTGTTGTACATTAGTTGCAACATTTTAATTACAAAACAGATAAGTGTGTAATACGACACTTTTGAAAGGTTTTGTAAACTTACTATTTCAATCTTCGGCTTAGCCATCTATCCAATTGAGCGCTGGAAACCTAAAAAACAAGCTTGGTAGTGCACCTCCATGGTGATATAGTGGAATACGAGATATAGACACAATTGAAAAGTCCATCCTGGGGCAGCTCGGTTCCAGCTCCGATAGCGTCCCCACGATGAACTGCTCAACGGTATCCAAAGTAGTAGGACCACAGCAAGCACATTAGACGCGATGTTCGACAGATAAACGCTACGGTCCAGTCCTTTTTAAACAATCGCGAACATAAACAGTCACGCAGATCTCATTTCCAACTGCATCAGATGACAACAGTCCTGTTCCCTTCAACAAATATTACAACTAACTTCTACCGACAACGTAAAGATAAAGCATAAAGAATAACGCTCTCGGCGATGATCAATCAATGAGAGATCCGCCAGGCACTCGACTTCATCAAGCTTCGCTGGAGGTGATCAAATGCATATCTGGCCCTTACAATGATTCGCCGTCGCCTACCGATGCAAAGAGACAGTGCTGCTATCCTCCGAGACAAGTCTGGCACCAATTTGCGAACCCCGGAGGGATGAAAGGCTAGGTGAGCCTTCGGCGCAGCGATTGACCCCATGTGTATTGCAGGACGCTTCCTACGACTGCACTACACGCGCCCTACTTACAATATAATCAAAAGGCTTTCTTCAACAAGAGATAAGAAATGAAGACTACAAAATCTACACGAACATTAGTCATATAGAATCCACCGAGCAGTTTAATGCCTATAAAAGTAATCAGACCGCGATGTTTAAGCGATGAAATTGTACACCTCGGTCAGCACTACAGAGTTTGTAAACGTTTATCCGATGAACACATTGAAGACACAAACAGCGTGACGAGCTAGGATGGAAGGACGAAAAACCGGTGTGTGGTTAGCAAAATGTCAACGTAATTTCATAGTAATATAATAAAATCATCATCAGAAACCTTTTTAATGACATGTGAAGAGAGGATTACATGGCCATCAAGTAATGTAGCACTGGGCGAAAATTCTGAAGATACAGAGGGTTTCTGTGATTACACGAAGACCAGCAATAGTAGTACAATCACTCCTCTTGGCTTTTGCGCACGCATGCAGCGACTCGTTTCTTGAATTCGGCATAGTTTTCCCTTTGCATTTTCTGGAAACACAAAATGAAGCTGTCGGGAGTAAGTGGAAAATTCATGTAAACAACAAACCGCAGCGTCTACATTTGCAGGCGATTCAAAGTTCGGATCTGCAAGCATAGAGATTACAGACAACAGTATCGTCTCTACTGTGTGCACAGGGAGCCAACGTTCTTCTGGTCGCTCATAACCCCATCTAAAAGTTAAGAAAAATAAAACCGCTGAAAATGAATGAAAATACCAGCTATCGAACAATCGTACTTATCGTCTCCTGGATCGTGTAAAATGGAGATGCATACATGGCCATCTTTATCGACTGCAAGAACACAAGTAGTCATTGTGAGGAAATAAATAAACCTACATAGAAGACGGAAAAATAGTACGTAGTATATTGGTTCAATGACATTATTGAGGCTATGCATATTGACAAGGTGTCTACTCGAAATCGAAATGAACGGTTTTTTACGCTACTTTGACGAATTAACGTAAAGAACTTCTCTGCAACACTAGCGAATAATTTTGTTTCATTTGCTGCCTATTACAATTTTTCACAGCAGGGTAATATGTGAAACACAACCGTAATGATGCTGAGATATTTACAAAACTCCGGACCGCAAATGTATGCCGTGGCAAACGAACGTGCAATTACCCTTTTCGGGAACTAACGCGTTCACCACCACACCATGCGGGTCCTTCGATACGCTTGTCCGTCAGCTAGTTTTCCATCGATCAGTGCCATCATCAATCATCCGTCAACAGGATTGGTCGGTAGGAAGCTAGCTGAGAGACAGGCGAAACGAAGTACCCACACGGTGTGGCGGTGTACGCGTTAGCCCCCGGAAAGGTAATAGCGCGTTCGTTTCCCACTGCAGACACGTGCACGGAATTTTGCAAATATCTCAGCATCATTACTAGCTAATCAGTTAAGACATAAGACACTAATTCTCCAATGCAAATAGTCATAATAATTGCAATTCATGTTAGCGAAAATATTTCATGAATAAGATGTAACAAAGCGCTTCAATTTACAAGCATAAGATAGCAGCAACTTACTATTCGGATGCCAAATTTCCGATACAAACTTCATTTTTGGAGGCTTCTGTGGATAATCCTTAGGAAAATCTAGGATGGCTTTGAAGAACCCACCTTCGCTGAAACAGATATCCTGCACATAAAGCAAGTTTACAATGAGAATAACTGAACGATTTAAACAGAACCTCAACAATTTCATGACAATCCAAAAATGCGTCGTTGTGACATATGTTTCGTAATAAATTTGTTCATGTTGATGAGATAGGAATGAGTTAGCGAACCATTGCCGCTTCAATCACTTAAAGTCATAGCAGTTTTGTTCCAGGCATTCAACTGTTTTTAGCTTGTTTTCAGATTTGCTTAGCTCCTCATGGTCAGGACAAGCAGACAGACAATGAGATGTTTAGCAAACTACTGAAACTATTTAAAGCACCAATTAGAAAATTCATTTCTTCTTCAGTGCACGCTTTATGGCACAAAAGTGTGCATAGCGATCTCTCCCTCTCATCCACAAGTTTGTTGTTACAAGTCACAACTCCTCATTGCCTCATTTATCACACAACGCAAGACACAATATGGCATGAGTGCTTCGTGGAACGACTGCTAAATTTTAGACGGTTACAGAGTAGCTGTACAACATTTACGTTATGCGCTATCAAAACGTAAAGAGATGTACGGTTTCCAACAAAAGACGGTAATCCTTGACAAGCAGAGAAACTAAAGGATCGAAAACAAGGTGTAGCTATCGGTAAGGCTCCGTTTTTCACTTCAGAGCTAATTTTTTATTTTTTATATAACCCGTCTTCACTTCTACTGTGCGGATTCCAGCATTTCCCATATTCGACTCGTTTCCTCGCATCCATTATTCACAAAGATCTTCCATATTTTACACATGGTTTCGACTACTGCTTGAGAATTTTCATTTCACCTTGAATGTCGTAGTATGCTGGTCTTGTCGATTCTCCTTGGAGACCTAAGATAGCCAGGCTGAAGCGTTCCCAACTGGATTGCAGAGAGTGACTTTTAACCCGAAGCAGAATCGAACTGGCATCATGATCGTGGTGCTCGACATTACTACCACTGTGCTCTCCGCGCTACTTCAGAGCTATATGAATTGCTATTAGCCTACCATAAACAACAAACCACATTTTTAACTGAATTTGAAAACGTTTTGCTTAAACTGAATCCATTTCTGTATTTTTATCCCACTCATTGCAATCGGTAGGCATGACACATTTTAGCGATTGGAAGCGAAGTAACGCTAAACTTCTTGTCAAAATTTAGACTCTGCATACCTCACATATAGACTTTTTGTTATAGCTTTTCTTAAATTTGAGTTCGCAACATCCTGAGACTTAACAAACTCATAAAAAATTTTTCGTTCTACTATAAGCGTACGCATGCAAGAACACCAAACAGAATTTGAAATCGATCGACTCCTCGAAGATGAAGCCCGATATGTGTAGAATAATGTGGGACTTTGACTATGCTGAGATATTTGAAAAAATCCGAACCGCTGGTGTTAGTCCCAGAAAGAGTACTAGCGTGTTTGGTCCCCACTGCAGACACCAGAGGCCCGGAATTCTGCAAATATCTCAGCATCACTACGGTTATGTTTCGCAAAATAACCCGTCATTAAAAAACAGTAGGCAGTAAATAAAAAGTGACTACAGTGTGGGACCTCCTGAGCTTTCCGTTGAATTCCACTGAAAGTGAACTGAAGAAGGAGGATGAAGATGTCGATGAAGAAATCAGCAGTACGTGATCAAACAACGTATTGCCTCACAACGAATTATCTTCGGTGATAGTAAGTCTAGTGTGAATCTACAATCTTTGTTTAAGTGCACAGAAGATAGATTTTTACGAATTACTTACGACTGAGGCTTGGTAACTGATTAGAAATGAGATAAACGGATGTAGACTATAAAAGTATATGGGCCACTGACTCGGATCATCGGATCTGATGACGACGAAGACGTCGAAACTTAAGCCAAAATAAACATCTTTATCAATCTCGTATAACTCAACAATTTAAACACATATAGAAGCATGTGTTATGGAGACTGACAAGTGATGACATGATGAGAAGATTCGTAATTCTCTGCCGTAAAATTGTAATAAATCGACTGCAATAGATCGAAGACTACCGAAGCTCCACCTCCGATCTTGCATACCATTTTATTGTATACCATATTACGACAAAAAAAAGACCAGAACGGTTGTTGGTTGACCTCCACTATGCCGACAACGTAATGTACAACTAATGAAACAGGTTATAATAGAGGAATCCTCTGCGAACATATCACTGACGATTCCTGTGTCATTTAGACGTGGAGTAACCTTCCGCCAATATATTCTATATAAAACGCACAAGTATAGTCTCGAGTTATTCACATTGGGCTCAAGATACGACACATACGTTTTGCAGCACATTCAGTGTATGCTGATAGCGATTGTTCCATAACTAGACACGATTTAGTCAATTGACGAGGATTATGTATAATTTTCCGGTTGGAGAAAGGACCGTTCGCATTGACAATTTGCAAGCAAAATTTAGCTGGAGATTCCGTGGACAGAAGGAACCAAATTGTTGAGATATGTAGAAAAAAAACATCAGTACACTTCCCAATCATATGTCATTCACGTGAAACTAAGGAAAGGTCAATGGACAGTAGTGAGTATGGAAAGGGTTCAAATTAGTTACGACGTGCAAGTTTAAATAAAAAAATTGGATACATCGAAAGTTCTGTGTTGGGTAAGAACAGCAATATACATGCAAAAATGTAAACTATGTGGGGTACGCAAACTGTGTTTATATTTAAGTTGCACACTACAGATTGAAAAGTAAATGTTTCACAGCACACTTCAGTAAAATGTTATGTTACCAAGATTACACAAACTGCACACAATAGCAACCTGGAGATTTTTTTTTTAATTTTGACTCGTCTTCATATCTACTGTGTGGATCACAGCACTTCTTACTTTCGGCTCGTTTCCACGCATCCATCGTCCACGAAGGTCTTCCAACTTTACGTGTGGCTTCGGTTGCTGCTTGAGGATTTTCATTTTAACTTGAATGTCGTAGAATGCTGGTCGAGCAATTGTCCCTGGAGTGCTGACATAGCCGCGCTAGAACGTTCCCAACTGGATTGCCGAGAGTGATTTTTTCCCAAACAAGTTCGGTACCAATTTCCCGACCCCGGAGGGATGAGAGGCTTGGTTGGCCCATAACCCACGAAAACGACAGGTTATCAGTTCCTGGGACAGACCTATTAACATCGGAACTGGACGATGAATGCGTCGTCTTCTTTCTCAGTAATCATGTCACCATGTTATCACGTAAACTATTGTGTTATTGCTATAATATAATAACTCCTACTCTGCAAAATAAATTCAAAGGAACAATATCACCCAAAGTGAAGCCCTTAAGAAACAGAAAACCTTCAGAGCATACGAAGTACCAATCTAAACCAAAAGTACTGAAATGCTTACTACAGGCCACCGGTGATGTTGCGTGAATGGATGTACAACGAAGAAAGGAAAAAGGCCGAATTCGGCAAAAAATAAATAAAAGTGATAAAATATTTGGGACTATAAAGGAAACAACTCACTACAATGTGTCTGGAGGACCAATAACGAGAACTTCCCACTTATAAATGTCGTCATCATTTACAAGTCCGGCAGAAAAGCCTTCCACAGGTAATCGCCTCAGTTCTGAAAAAATCTTACTGCTATGAAGAAGTCTCACACCATTACCTTAGTCATCCATTTGTAGAGAAACCAAAACAAAATTAAGAAAATTGGTACCAACTACTGTCTTGAACAGGCAAAGATCAATAAGAATAAATATGAACTGAAACGAATATCTTAGGAAGCTGGAGGAAACCTGTTTTAATCAATTAGCACTACGAATATAAATCATCTGAAGATACAATAGAAGGACTGCTTTATTCTTCACCGAAAAGATGCAAGCCGTTTTCAAGCATTATATTAAAGTTCACCATCTGATTGAATTATGGATATTTGTCTCAAAGACTATAATCTTCATAGATTTTCTGTTGAGAGGCCACATCACTTGCAGTAGATTAAGACCGGACCCCTTATGTTGATACACTTTATATACAAACTTACGTCTTTCACAGGACAAGGACCCACATGGTGTGGTGGTGAACGCGTTAGCCCCCGGAAAGTGTAATAGCGTTTTTGATCTTCACCGGAGACACCTGCCATCCGATTTTGCTAATATCTCAGCATCACTGTAGTTAGTCCCACACGATAGTTTAAACCCTCTCCCAAATAGATTATATGTCTACCAAGTAAGGTCTTCTACACAAAAAAGATTCAGAATCACCTAAGAATTTAATTCTTACCAGATCGTAGGCAACAAGGGACTTCCACATAGTTTAATAAACGATAGGATTTATTCAAATAGGGCGCTAATACAATAAACAATCTCGGGTACACGGAAAAGTGTTTTTGACATACCTCACCTCTTAGCAATGGTAGAAAACCCTATCACTGGACAATTTTAACTGTTCAGAAAATTTCAACAACGTAAGGAACCTGAAGAATTTCATAGGAGGTTAGACCTCCTGCGTCAGGTAGCGAAAAACAACTTCTAAGCGTGTAATTAGGCGCTCTGCAATACACGTGGGATCGATCCCGGTGCCCCAGTCTCACTAAGCCTTCCATCCCCACGGGATCGTCAAATTGGTATCAGACGCGAGTTATTGTAAACGCCAGATATGCATTAAATCACCTCCAAGGATGCTGAATGAAGTTGAATGCATGGCGCATACCTCTGGGATTGATCAACGCCAAGAGCACCATCCTTTTTATCCTTTCGATTCAAGCATCCTTTCTCATGGCTGAACTAACTACTTTTATTACTATATAACTACTTTGTTCTTCACAAGTTCCTCCAAATGATTCACACACTCCTGCCGGAGTTATGAGGAAGGAGGAACTCCGATTTAGACAATCACTTTTTCGCCAGATGAAGCCGGATTTAAGCCCACGTCAGCCCTGAATGCCTGTGATGCGTCCAATCAAGGATTGCTCATAGAAGCTGACCGTAAGGAAAAATCAATGTTCTGTATTTGCACGAAGACTCGCACATAGTGCATTGGAACACTTCCATACCTTAAAAAGTTCTCCTTCTCGTGAGAGTGGCATCCAAATCCAGAAAAAAAGAAGCAATATGACTACTTTCTAATGAAAACTTTTTTAAATACGAAGACCAGAGATCCTTAGTGACCCAAAGAACACTTTGAAAACGACTTTAAGAGGAAAACTATAGGAAAGCTGAGAAATTAAAAGGTGGTAAATGCCTCACAAGGAAAAACACAAAGAATGGAGCAAATTACCTAGTGACATCCGAAATTTATTGGTGTGGAACTTATCCTTAATTGCTTATGGATAGTCTAACATCATCACAAATTTTCCAATACATTGTTCTTCAACAGTTTTAATGTTATCTCAGTTATGAGGCAAAGAAAGACCAATGTACTCCAACGAACCCACCAGCTAACTGCTTCTTTAGGAGGAGGGAAGCTTGCGGCTCGCCCATAATTCTGACCCGATTCAACAAGTGAGGAAGACTAGTATCTACGTCCCTAAAACAGTAACATTTCGATGATGTGATTGCAATGAAAACGTCCTTATCAAGGACACCTAGCAATGTAGAAGCTTTAGGGTCACGGAACCACAAAGAAGCCAAGGAGAAGCGAAATCCCCAGGGGACGGCACACCAGCATTGCCTGAGCCATCGCCTGATCACAGCCGGAGCCGTTATTAAAGGACAGCAGAGGTTGGTCTTGAGCAGAATTAACTGCAAGGACGACTCGATCATGACCACTGACTGGAGCCGTGACTGTCGGTGCTTTGGTTCGTGACGGTTGGAGACCCTGTTCTGGTTCACTTCAGTATGTTTTTAAAACGATGAGTTGAGTTAACCCTGTTATTCTGTGCGGATAAGGATTTTTGACTTGCTTATTGGCAAGACATGTGCACCAGCATTGGTCGTTTTCAGTTGTTTAGTTCGGAAAGCGGATGTCATGATTCAGGTTACTTGCTTTTCAACTGCGGCGTCAACTAGGTGATATTTTTCGTCCGGTAAACCAGAAATTGATACCGGAACTTTTTTTGCGGAGAAGATAATGAAACAACTTCTAAGGCTTATTAGTTTGGTATTAAGAAACATATCGCTGTTGTATAGGAAGTGTTTGTAGGGTTTGTGGTCGAACCTTTAGGAGGTCTGAACCGAGATTCTAAGCCCCAGTTAGACGTTTGGGAGCAAAACAGGAAAAGAAACTTCTCACAAGTGGAATAGTGCTTTCTCGAAGCTGAAGTTACGAGACTGCTCAGTAAGTAAATATGCGAAGAAATGAATCTACCTTTGTAACAAGTATGCATCGTACTTGTATACTTTTTTTATCGATTACGCAGAACTTCACATTCCAAACGGATGGTATGCGAGTCACAGTTGTTCGGGATAGGTTAAGGGGTTTTTCCATCCTGGTCGTAATAGTCCCGTCACTTGTTTGTCTCCTTGGAACTCCTTCCTCGTCTTGTCCTGACTTCTCTTTGGCTACGAGAGCGGACTTCACAGGATGGAAGGAAACTCCATGATTTGGCCCTTAGCTGACAAAGGGTAGAGACATTGTGCACAGGAGACTTGCTGAGTGCAGTTTTACAACGACGACATAGCTTTCTCATCGACAATTCGGTATTTCAATCCATAAGTGAGCTTTTGCTCGAAATGAAGTCAACAGGACGAGGCAAAATCGTCGAAATGGATGTGTGGGATGTGGCTCTGCAGAAAAACACGCGTTACTCTTTAATTTTCGTCTTGTTGACGAAGTTATATTTTTTGGTAACAGCACCGCAGATGAATAGGCTATGGTTACCGACTACGGGAAAAAGCATAGGAAAAACTGGACTACAAATCAATCGGAAGAGTTCCGACTTCGTGAAGAACGTCACCTGACTGTTCGGCGTACGTGTTCACTTATTTGAGGGAAGAACTCTGCTGGACTGTGCTATGCCCCGCAGACAAAGGTGTACTACTTCAACCACCCTGACTTGGCGAGTAGTACGCGCAGCAGTAGAGGGATGTCCCTCGGTAGTCGGCGAGCACAGCATCAATCCGCTTTTTTCGGTTTAGACGTTCGAAGCACATAGCGTCTTCGAAAACCAGCGGAATGCTCATCAAGGAGCAAGTCGGAACGCCGGTAATGTGAAGAAAACGAAGGCGACAGGTGGATGAGAAGAACGCTGGTGAATTTTGAGAAAATCGAAACGATCTCGAGCCGGACTTCGAGAAAGAAGGCCCGAAGCCATATGGGAACGCGATCAACTCTGCGGATACGGTCGGTTGCAAGTTGAGACTGGAAAAGCGCAGCTTTCTATACAACATGAGGCAGAATGATCTGTGATTTTTTCTATAGTTATTTCGTTTGGTCTCTTTTCGTTCTAGCACTAGAATTCTTCTCCCTTCTGTCCTCTTATTGGAAGGAAATTTTACTCTATAGTCCCGCTTCTTTCAACGAGTAGTTCCTCATATACTTTGTATTTTGATGTCTTGTTCACACTCTTCTTATTCTTGGCCAGGTGCATGCATGGCTGTGGTTAAAGGTTCCCTGAAAGACGCATTTGGTTCCTCCCTGGTTCGATCCCGTAGTGCACGGGTTAACCAAGCCCGTCAATCAATGCATAGTGCATCTCTCGGGGATTTTCCAACAGAACACGCTTACTGTTTTCTCGATGAGCGCAAACGCGGTTGTTATTTCAATACTTATGTTACGTTTCATCTTCCACCTTATTTCAGAACATGAAAAGATCATATTCATGAGTATATCTGCTCTGCCAAACACTTTCGTGACCCCAGAATTGACCCCAAATCTAAAATGCGATGGTATGGAGAGCAACTTCCTTAAACACTCACCATTTTATAGCCACTTCTTTTTTACTGCTTGTTCGTTTTTCTAAATAACGTCAATAACACGGCTTAGAGAAAGGCGAAATCAAGGACTCGCATGGTGTGGTGGTGAACGCTTTAGCCTCTGAAGGGGTAATAAGGCATTCGCTCCCCATCTCAGATACCAGTGATTCGGAGTTTTGTAAATATCTCAACATCATTATAGTTATATTCACCAGGTTCTTTTTCTCAATGTTGTATTTAACATTCTCGTGTATGTTCATCAAAAAAAACCGTAAGCTATTGATCGATGTCAGGGTTAATAAGAAGTTGGTCCTAGAAACCACAGAACGCTTTGTCCTTTAAGTGGAGCGAAAACTTTAGAGGAGTCATTGCAGCAATCTTCTTCCTTAATACGGTGCTACAAAGCAGTTTCGAGTAAATGTTATATTATGGACTTGGCGTATTCTATTTCTAGTTGACGTTGATAATCTGTAGATGTGCTAAGCGGTGATGGCAAATTGGTCACTTCAGTCTGTTGCTTTATATAGGATGCCGATCAATCGATTAATGTTCAAAAGTGATTGTGAGTGAGAGGTATTTCTTCATAGATGAGACGAAGTGCATATAGTGTTACGTGCTATCACGCCTTAGTGCAATAATACTCTTTATCACTGTCGTATTTACTGTCTTTTGTAAACCTCAAAATAGCACAAACAAGGGAACAGCCTCGCTAGGGCATCTACCGACGGAAGCTTTTGTCCCACTGGGGCCAGTCCCACCATCGAAGGCCACTCGGAGTATCCGGCGCTCCAATGCAGACGGGATGTTGGACATAGAAGGATTGGATGAAACTTTAGGTGATTTCGTTTTCTTAAACTGAAATTGGGGCAAAAAACTCTCTGCTCCGCATTGTTGTTGCTGAAGGGCGGTGTACAGGGGAGGGCCTTGAGGATCTTAGGTGTGTTCATATTTCCTCTGTTATAATCGGCTTTCCATATCATTTTAAACTTCATCGACGTCTTTTTCGGCTAACAGAGGTTACTCGGCTTTCGAATTATGTACTGTTTAAATATGAACTCTGGTTTGCTCCCTTAAGAACTAACTCCATGATTGTGTTTGAAGTATTGCGTGAAGTTTCTGATTCGAAGAACGAGATTCGTTTACCAAAAGCTCGAAAACTTTAAAGATCAAGTTCTATAGCGTTCTTTGTCAATGAGTACATGCTTTCAAACATCGACCTCTGTTATACACATCCCTGCTAAGAATAGACTTTGTTATTCTAAGTAAAAGCTGTTAGAGTGTATACTTTCTGCGTCAACAACTTATAGGCATAGTCATCTTATAATTTGCAAATTCGGGGAGTGTTGACCGGAAATCTTCGAATCTTTTAGTAATAGTCACTTTTTGTTTACTGCCGATTCCTTTTTGACGGCAGGATACGATGTGAACTATAACCACAATGATGCGGAGGTATTTTTATTTTTTGCGAAACTCCGGACCGTTGGTGTCTGCCGTGGGGATCGAAACCGCTATTACCCTTTCCGAGGGCTAACGTGTTCACCTACGCACAATGCAGGTGCTTTGTTTAGTCTTTCTTTTAGTAGTGTTTTTTACAGCAGCCTCGTTTTTCAAGGCCTTTCTGGGCTAGTCGTTATTAAGATGCCTGAAAAAGTTGCAGTTTGTTTGTTAGAGGCCCAGGAAGTGTGCTGGATGGAGGGCTTTCGAGGTTCATATTGTATTTCTTTCAATTTTCGTAATGCGTATAATCTGACGTTGTCGTAGAACAGAATTGATGCCTTTTGAATGTTGAACGTAGACGTTGCCGTTCGTGGTACATTTTGGCACGAACTGCTCAAAATGTCTAAGCGTTTAGGTGACTCAACAGAACTACTCAAGATTGTTCGCGACAATGTAGACTTCAACGATTTTGTCATGGCAGTGATAGTCATTTTGCTATTGTTGATGGTCCCTTGGCGATTTTAATCATGCCGAACGCAAGGAAAATATATGGAAAGTTTACTGCAGAACAAGGCGTAGCACAGTTCGGACAAGTTTTCAACACCTCAGCTGAACTCGGAAGTCGAATGAACTCGGTGAATTTTTGAAATGAAGGGGAAGAAAGGCGACAGTCGTTAGCAAATCTGTCTTCTGCTTATTTTGCGCAACAAAAACGGTTCGTTCTTCAGCGGCAGGACTTACCATTGAGTATACGATACATTACCCCTAAAATTTCGAGAGTCACGTGAATCTGGGGTTATTTTTCTATGAATTTTGAAGAAGTTCGGTTACAGAAATCATTGGTCACTTCCAACGTCGTAATTCAAAAAACAGTTTGCAGTAGGCTGGTTCATCTTTTATTGCTTTATATCCTATAAGTAAATCAGCTGTTGGTTCAATTTCAGATCACATGGGGTTTCGCAATACCTCTCTACATAATTTTTTTCACTGCACTTGTTTGATAGCTATTTTCTACTAGGGTAGCCTCAATATACACATGCATATGTATGCGTATACACATACATATATGTATGTATATGTCTATATATGTACTTATATACATGTATATGTATATGTGCATGTGTACATATACGTGTGCATACATGTATGTATAATATATGGTGACAATCGTTGAGAGAAAGAGAAAGCTGAGAGAAAGGCGAAACGAAGGACCCGTACGATGTGGTGCTGGTGAACGCGTTAGCCCCCGGAATGAGTAAACGAGTTCGATCCCAACCATCGACACCTGTGGTCCAGAGTTTTGCAAATGTCTCAGCATCACTGTGGTTGCATTTCATGTAATACCCAGCCCTGAAAAATTACGGCAGGCTGCTCGACATGTCCTTGTTGTACTCACTGAATAAACTCTAGAGTAGTTGTGCTGTTTGGAAAGTCACACGGGTGGGTGGGGAAAAGCTCACGTGTTCTGTGCACACACACGCGTCAGTAACTTGTGTTCGGCCTTCTCAGTGTTCATATAAGCACAACCGTTAGTTGATTTGATGAAAGGATGCGAAACTGGACTGTTCAAGGTTGGTTGGTGTTCTGTTTTGTAAAAGCTCAATTTTTGAGATTTTTCTTACCGGATGATAATTGATTGATTGCTTGATGCGTTTCGATGTCAGAGAGATCGAGTTCAAACTATTATTTTTTAATCCTTACCAGTTCTAATGATCTGAGTGGTTTGTAGTTAACTCATTAGAAGACCAAATATTGGTATTGTGAGATTAGCATTGATTCTTTGCTTATGGAATTCTTGTGAAATTTACAGCTTTTTCATCAATACGCAAGTGATAGTCTCATTTTTGGAAGTTAAACGCAAGTCGTATACATCCTTACTCCTTCTTATAGTCATGTAATGATTGTTCGCAAGAGAAGTGACTATCGAACGAGGTTTTCAAACTCGTTGGCACGTTTTTGTGCTGTTTATGTTCAGCAGGTGCTGTGCTGCACCACAATACTTCTCATTCGATACCTTAAGATCATGACTGTCGTTCCATGCATCTCTTCTCATGTCCTGGAAGTGTTTCCGTTCCGTTGATGATATGCAGTCGTCTCGTCGTTTATGTGCTGGATAGCTCCGGGGTCTGGCTCTCAAAGGCTGTCTGCCGTCTACGGCCATCAGCCGCTGCCTCCCTGATGGCGGCGGCGGGCGGGGCGACGGCCAGCCTAGGAGCAGTCCGCCGGCCACTGTTGGTCTACCCACACTGCTCGTTTCAGGAATGCCCACTGACAGGCTCTGACTCTCATCCCATCCATCAGCGCTGACGAAGTCCTGGCTTTTTTGTACTCGCTGATTGGAAATGACCAAAGATCGCCTGAGTGCCCTTAAGGCGGCACAATCAGAGGATGAGCAAGATGACGACATGCACATGGACACGGGCAATGCCCAGTATATGGAGGAGTTCTTCGAGCAGGTGTGGGACCTATTCGGATTTTCTTTCTTATTTTCTCATGTGGAACTCCAGTGTACGTAATATTTTGATGGGAATTGGTGTTGTTTGACGTTTTGTCACTTATTCCTCTGTTCTAAAGCTCTCAGAAGTGCAGCTACTTCGAGTTATATCGTATTTCGCTTTGATCTTACATAACTCTTGCAACAGAATGCGCTCGAGGCATAACAACAACCTCAATTGGTATTTAAGTTGTGTCGAATTAGCGTGGAACTCTTTGTGTCTAAATTCAGTTTAGTCAGCGATAATTCGTTTATGACTTCGTCCTTGTCCCACGTCAACAAGAAGTAGTATAGTAGAATCCTGCTGCATAGGAGAATCCTCTTCCTTTTCGGGAAGAGTACGACTGAGCGGGGCTTCTACGGGATTGTAAATACGGATTAGTTGCGAATCGAACGCTCGAGTGCGGTCGCATATGCGCTCGTGCGTCTCTGCGATATCGATTTTGGAATTTTTCCTTGATTTTAGCGGCTAGCGGCTTGATTCGTCTAACTAGCATCGCGCTAACGGCTATCGAGCCGCGAAAGCGTAGCCATTCTTGGAAAGCTATGATTTATGGGGATCCCTATACGCATGGATAACTATCTGTCTTCCCTCTTAGTGGCTTTGAAATTAACGGTTTGCTAGGCATTGACATTCGGCGCCACAACACATTGATGACCACCGTTGACTTTACGGAAGGCGAAAGAAAGCGAAAGAATAAAGATCCAACAAAGGGCTTTTGTAGATTATTAAGTGTACATTGTTTTACAAGCTATCGATGGAATACAAAAAAGTGCGGAAAAATCTCTGTCAACCAATGAACAGGCATGACACCATCGCATTACGTGGTTGTTAATATGTTAAAATACCGGGATAACGATAAGTAAATCCAGTAACAGGAATGATACTTGGATACTTACATAGCCCGTCCTCACTGGTTGTGCAGGTCCCAGCATAATCTCCATTTTCAGAGATTTGCTGGTTAAGCCATTGTGGCTCTCTGGAGTACAGAAGTCAGCCTAGCCAAAGTCTGACCCATGCCGTCACCACAACAGGCAGTTGTCGCCGTTGTGGATCAGAGGGAGATTTGCCACCGTGCAACTAATTTGATACTAGGACAGTGGCGGATTAGTGGATCCTGGTATTTGTTTACTCTTAGTTAGGTTTCCTGATGGAAACGTCGGACTTCTCAGCTTGGGAGACCCTGGTTGATGGATGAATCACCGTTCATAATTTCACGTTGCACACTTATTTTATTACAAAGTGTTCAATTGATCTGAAAATAAATTGGTAGTCGATTTCATAAGTGAGGGCAGTTTTATGTAGTTGGAAATTTAGGTCGAAGAAATTCGTGGTAGTGTTGATTTGATCGCGAACAATGTAGAGGAGGTGAAGAAAAAGCATTCGGCGATTCTGTCGAATCCTGTCAATGATCCAAGTGAGTTTTCTTGCGATGATTATTTGGAGTTCTCACTTTTAAATTTCTCTTCATGAAAATTCTGTGTTTTATCCGTACAACTCTACTTCTCCGAATAATGTAACTAGCATGGGCTGACTGCGGTTACTTGCAGCTTTGAATTATCAAATATGAGAGAAATCGTAGCATTCTTCATAGCAGTCCTTCACATATATAGCTGAATCCAGTGCCATATCTATGCTATTGGATGCCATAAAATATGTGAAGAGTTTTCTACATCAGACAACAAGAAAATTTTCTATCATTTGCAGAAACGAAAGAGGAACTAGATGAGCTCATGGCTAGCATAAAGAGGACGGCCAATAAGGTCTTTCATACGTTTCCTTTCGATATTTAAAATTTTTTAATGCTCGACGTTTCTAGTATTGATACCACCGAGGTTTAGGTCCGGGGGAAGCTAAAACTTATCGAGAATGCAATCGAACACGACGAACAATCATCTGGAGCTGGAAATGCGGACTTACGTATACGGAAGACCCAACATAGTACCTTATCACGTCGTTTTGTAGAGGTTATGACCGATTATAACAAAACACAAACAGACTATCGTGAGCGCTGTAAAGGACGTATTCAACGGCAACTTGACATTGGTTAGTAGACTTAACAAGTTTGTTCATTCTAAAAATCGTTTTCCTTACTGTTTCCATACTACCGATTCCAGCCGGAAAGCAAGTTGGTGACGAAGATCTTGAGGAAATGATCGAAAGCGGAAATCCTGGTGTGTTTACGCAAGGGATCATAACTGACACACAACAGGTACTTTTCCACTCCATTTCAATTTTTGCTTCTAATTCACTTGAATGTTTAATACATGTTTTTAGGCGAAGCAAACTTTAGCCGATATTGAAGCTCGGCATAACGATATCATGAAACTGGAAACGAGTATACGTGAACTACACGATATGTTCATGGATATGGCAATGCTTGTCGAGAGTCAGGTACGAGAATGTTTTGCGTCCGATGGTGTGAAATCAGATTTGTAAGTAGTTTTGACATTATCACGAATCAAAACTAACAGCTTATTGCGTGTTAGGTCGTATGCAATTGATTCGATGAGTTGCTAAATTTTTACCTGATTATGCAAGATCTTACCCTTTGAAGTGCATAGCCCGCAATAATTCTCGATGTTGGTTTATCTGCATCTTCAAGTTATATTTAGACTTTTATCCTCTATTTTATCCCTTATAGGGCGGATAGCACAGTGGTAGTGATGTTATCCTCACGAGCAAGGTACTAGTGCGATTCCACTTCGGGCCAACCAACCCTGTCATCTCTCCGGGGTCGAGAAATTAGTACTGGACTTGTCTGGAAAAAAAATTCACTCTCTGCAATCCAACTGGGAACGCTCCAGCCCGGCTATATCAGGACTCCAAGAAGAATTGCTCGACCATCCTACGACATCCAGGATGAAATGAAAATTCTCAAGCAGCAACCAAGGCCACACGTAAAGTTGGAAGACCTTCGTGAACGATGGATGCGAGGAAACAAATTAGATGCGAGAGGTGCTGGGATTCGCACAATAGTCGTGAAGAGAGATCAAATGAAATAATAAATAAAACTATTTTTTCACTTAATGAATAAAAAGTAAATCGGGTGGGTTTTTAAAGCAACATATTCTGCTGAAGCGTTATTTGTCTTATTTTCGGTATCTTTACTTCATATACGACTAAACCAGTTCCTAAATTCTTGCATTTTTTAAATTACGGAAGCGGTACCTTGAAAGCCAAAATACTGAGAGTCTACCGAGTTTTTTTCATTGAACACTGTTAGTGAATTGGTATTCTTAAGCTGTTTTTGCAGTTTGTTTCTAGGTATGCTTTGGTGTTTCCAGACGTGAAATGTTTACATCCTCATATCTCACTGCCTAATGGTTCCAGTTGGAACTTTTCTTATTTCTTCTTTGTCCTTCAGCTGCCACTGAACTTCCGCTTATTACACTTTTGACTAGAGACATCAGCTATGTCACCTGTATCACCTGTAGTCCCGTTGATCGTCGAGTGAGTCGAGCGGGCGCCAGCAAATCTTCCATTTTTCCGTGTCGCGTATAAGCCCAGTGGGTTCTGATCGCTCTAGGGACTCGTCGAGCATCATATCTTTCTTCAAGGCTCTTTGTAAAGAACTGTGACCATCGGGTCGGTAGTCTTCCTGCAGTTCGTTTGGCATCCCGAGGAATCCAGTCACTAGCAACTCTTGTCCATCGGTTGTCATTCATACGCATTACGTGTCCGACACTGTTTGGCGTACAGAACGGCATCCATGATTTTTGATCGTTGACGCAGATCGGAACTTCGGATCCCATCCCTTGTGTGGAACGGGATACTCCTAGCAATCGTCCTTTCGACTGCGCGTTCGATAACGCTGAGCGATCTTTCATTCTGCTTACGCAGCAACCAGTTTTCTGACGCATACGTTAGGGCAGGAAGTACCGTTTAGTCGAAAAGGTGGGCGCAAACAGAGTCGGGTGTTCTTTGTTCTCTTCACTACATCCTCGATGCTCTTGAAAGCTCCCCAAGCTGCTCGTTTTCTTCTGCTCAACTCTGGAGCTAGGTCGTTCATCATATTGATTTCCCCACTTAGATAGATATAACTGGAGCATTCAGAGATATACGTTCCGTTGGGCGTGAATGGGGCATGCGAAACCAATCCGTTTTTCATGAACATCGTTTTTGTGAGATTTCGTCGAAGACCAATCTTTCGACAGGCTTTATCAAAGTCGTCAAGCATACGTTCCGATACGTTCCGCTTGGCCAATGCTTGGTGTCAGCTATGTATCAATGAAAAAACCATTTTATTTGACTTCATTCTTCATGTCTGCTCACTTGGAAGTGCTATCCATGCAGTGAAATTCTAGGTTAGAGTCTCCCACGTTATTTCAGACGAGTTTTTTGTTCTACTGGAGTAAAAATATGTTAGTAAGGGGACGGAGGAGAGGTAGAAGTGAATATGATGTTCCTTGTTTTTAACAATAAGAACGATCGACACAACGCATCCGATTTACGCGGGCATCCGTTTCACCTGCACTTTGGCTTCTCAGCGCACAGATTCATAACTGGTTCATATTTCATAATTATTTAAAACTTCTTTTCTCACATATTGGAAATCCGAACAGTTATTTCGAATGGTTGACGAGGTTTTCTCGCTCACTGGGACGTATTTCGGTGTATTGTTGCAATCGAAAAAGGCAAGTTCAATTGTTTTTTCTTCTTGTTATGTATGTGTCTCCTTGTTAGGAATCTAGGTTTCTAGGTTTTCTAGTCGCTGTTCGTCGTCTAACGTCGAAGTTTTCGAGAAATTTCTGCTTTCCTTTTCTGGCAATTTTTGTTGTCAAGTTGAATTCACCACTGTTTAACCAAAGTGCTCTGCTTTAAAGTATTGAGCAGTTAATCAATTTCGAAGTTATGTCATAAATCGTTGGGGAATATGCATGATGAGGTAAGAGAAAGCGCATATTTGGGCATCGATCCGAGGTTGCTCGGGTCTGCCGAGTGGTAGAGCGATGAATGCATTACTAGAACAAGACGTCAATGAGCCCCTCTCCAATTTGTCACGAGAAGCTAGGACAGCTAAACCCGGAAAGTGATAATAAATCTATTCACAGCGAAAAGGTCTTTTATGGGCTTTGTTCAAATTTGAGGCAACTGGTAATTTCTTATGTCAGAGTAGTACACAATAGATTCATTAGCCATAAAAGCAGTAGAGCAATTCTTAGCTGGGAGCCGACTCATTGTTTTTAAGAGCGATCAGGAACCCTGTTCAATGCTTAGAAAATGAGTTTCTCAGTTTCTTATCGGTTCTATAATATTGAACATTGTACTCGCTTTGAATATAAGCTTGACAAAACGCAGCTTTAGGATATAAGCGGTTATATGCTTTGTTCCAGCGTATGCTTACTTGGGTACTTAGATGGCCTCTCTTCACTGATTGTGTGGGCCCCAGTATAATTTTCATTGTTTCGAAGTTTTGCTGGTTTACTCACTGTGGTTCTCTGGGGTTCTGAGGTCAACCAGGCCAAAGTCTATCCCATTCCAATGTATACAGTGTGAAAGTCATAACCACGTTCAACATTAAACAATATTGTCATAGCTGATAATAAACTCCTTCAAAGGAAGTAAACTTGATACTTGATACTTGAACGGCCCGTCATCACTGGTTGTGCAGGCCTCAGCGTAATCAGCATAATCTCCATTTTTCGGAGATTTGTTGGTTAAACCATTGTGGTTCCCTAGAGTCCTGAGGTCAACCATGCCAAAGTCTACCCCATTCCAATGTATACAGTGTGAAGGTCAAGTTTACCCTGCCTTTCAACTAGTTTTCCATCTACCATTGCCATCAGCAATCACCCGACGTCATAACCACGTTCAACATTGAACAAAATTGTCATAGCTGATAATAAACTCCTTCAAATGAAGTAAAAACTACTAGAATCTGAAATCTTTGGTCATACATGTTCATGTAACTATACAATAACAAGGACTGGTTTTCTGGAGTTCAGAAAACGTACCTTTCCGTTCCTCTTCTCTGAGGCTCTCATGTCGATAATTCAAATGACTGAGCGCTCTAAATGTGTTTAGAAAATGAAACGGTGTTTTATAGAAACCATATATGTTCTTTTGGAATGCGGAAAAGCCTCCAGTAAATTTCTGAAGTTCTGAAACTCCTTAACCACATATTGGACCATTATCGAAACTTGGTAAAATAGCATTTTCGTTATGTGTTAAACACTATTAATTTTATGTCATGAAGGTTCATTACTTGAGACAGTACAAGGTGTATGTTTCCTAAATGGTGATTGAAAACACTCTACCTTTAGTACTTTAAAGAAAGCACCTCTCAGCTTGTAGTAAACTTTATTATTTGAAGTAAAAATCAACAGAGAGAGAGAGAGAGAAAGAGTCAAGAGAAAAATTTACAAATCTTTGCGTGAAAGATACTATAAGGTGTTTTTCTATCACGATGAAGTTCCATTTTTCTCGAGGCCATGAATCGTTCTTCTCTTTCCATTCGTTTTTTCTTGTGAGATTTGCATTTTGGGCAGCGGAGTGATTGTGGAAACGGGATCCCGTCCAGCATGACAATCTGATATCCTCGAATCGTTACTAAATATGATTTCCGCGAATACGTCAAAAAATTCGAAAGCGTCTTCCATTGCATTGACAGATTCTAACGTAGGGGAGCGTGTAGCGCAGTGGTTGGAGGAGCCCTGCAGTACACATGGAATCGATCACACACCCAGGCTCAGCAATCCGTTCATCCTTCCGAGGTACGCAGATAGCTAACCGACTTGTTTGGAAAGATAGCAGTACTGGCTCGATTCATCGGTTGGCCGGCCACCACGAGTCATTGTAAAGGCCAGACATGCATCTTTTTCACCTCCAACGGTGCTTAGGGAAGGCGACTGCATGGTACATCCTTAGGGATTGGTCAATGCCAAGAGCTTTTTATCTTTTATTCTAGGGATTAAAGCGGAAGTACTGTTGTGGAAGCTTTATATTTGTTCTTCCTTTCACCATAATGTGAGCTCATTTCTATAGGTTCTCCATGTTCTGAAGTGCTAAAACGCTCTAATTGTCAGCGATTTGTTGTAGATTATTGAGAAACCTTCACAATTGCCAATAGTCTTTTCATTTTGTCTATGAACTCTGCTTGTTAAGGGTATCGTAATTATTGACTGAATAATAGAGAATCCCTCTGAAATGTGTTCAAAGTTTTTTTCTTCCTTCAACAGAGGCGACACATGTTGAGAAGATTCCTGTTATTTAATCACAAGTGAAGTAAGAGTGCATCGTATTAAATTTTTAGGGCGAAATGGTGGATAGAATCGAATACAACGTGGAACATGCGAAGGAATTTGTGGATCGTGCAGTGGCGGACACGAAAAAAGCAGTGCAGTATCAAAGTAAGGCACGACGGGTAAGTATTAAGAGCTTTTCAATTCTTCCGTTATCTCTTGCTGTGTTTAAACTGGTCTGGATACCACTGGTGTCGTTTGCACGTTCGCACAGCTGTAGTGTAGTTGGGCGCGGGAAAGTTAGCTAGTGGTAACGACATGAATAAAAACATACCGCAATTTTTTATTCCACAGAGAGATTTAATGATTATGCAAAAAGATCTCTTACGAAGTACACTTTCCACTGTCGTCTTCTCGCTTCTGTACGCCATCCATCGCATGTAGATTTCTTAGCCCTCCACATACATTAGCATCGCGTTGGGCCATGTAGAGCATTTTGTCCATCGTGTGATGTGGTTTAAGAAAATTGCTTGTAGCTCCGCTATGCCAGAGTTTCGTAGTTCTGAGTGTACCACTGTGCTAGACTGTTTTATGTTTTGGTGAAAGATTGGACATCAAGGATGGTCATTAGCAGAATTTTTTATACGCAAAGTGTTGACTGCAACCACTATGAATTGTCTTAACATTTCCACGGACCCTCTTGAATATGATTGGGATATGCCTCAAAAAAAAAAAATCAAATTTGGGCTTTGCTAACACCGGTGAGTCTGCTTTCGTCCATGATTAAAGCTATTGTTTGCGAAATTATTGATGAGTTCCATCAAAATGTCGTCACTTTTTACTTACCGCCTATGCATTTTTAGTGACAGAGTCGGATGTGAAATATAACCGTAATATAACCACAGCGTCGCTGAGATATTTGCAAAACTCTGGATCACAGGTGTTTATGGTGGGGAACGAACGCGCTATTGTCCCCTCCGGGGAGTAACGTGTTTACCACTACACCATGCGGATCCTTCGGCCTGTCTCTCAGCTCATTTTATCGATCAGCGCCACCAGCAGTTACCCGTCAACGGGATTACAGCCTCAGCTTAAGTGGGTTCAATGCCGATATGGGCTCCCCAGATCAATCCCGTTGACGGGTGGTTGTTGATGGCGCTGTTCGATAAAACTAACTGAGAGACAGGCGAAACGAAGGACCCGCATGGTGTGGTGGTAAACGCGTTACTCCCCGGAGGGGACAATAGCGCGTTCGTTCCCCACCATAGACACCTGCGGTCCAGAGTTTTGCAAACATCTCAGCAACGTTGTGGTTGTATTTCGCTTAATACCGTACCGTGAAAATTGTAGTAGGCAGAAATATGAAAAGGTAAAATATAACCGTAATAAACCTGAGATATTTGCAACTCCGGTCCGCTGGTGTCTGCGTCATAGTCGCGCCGTTTCTAAATAGGTATCCAATATTTTGCTCGAGAAATGGATGCAACAGAAGAGGCGTTCTTAAATTTCATTTAGTTTGTGGGAAATAACTATTTTGTGAAGTTGTTTCTACGCAAATACCAGTGGGTATCAGTTCAAGCATTGCTGCTCTATGTAATTAATCATGGTCAAATGGATTCTAAGTGTTCACCAACTGAAGTGGTATGACAGAGCCCACCATAAACGAGGAACAGAGCTCTTAATCATGCTATAAGCTTATCAGAGGAAAGGTGAAAACGTAGGCGACTTAGCGGTGATCAATCTCTAAGGGAAGCACCATACAATGGACTCCATCAAACATTGTAGAGGTCACTTAATGTTTCCTTTGCTCTATATACTGATTTATTGGCACCTGCCGATGTGTCAAATCAGCGTTTCCATCCACTCAGGTAAATTAATTATCAATTTGCCAGTACCTGAGAGGTAGGGAGTTTTGGTTAAACGGGGGAGCTGGGGCGAACCATTAGGCCACCTGTATCACATTGCATCTCCACCCACAACCTTTCTACCTGCCTCCGTAGGCGATAAAAATGTTTATGTATTGAAGATGTTTGGCTATAATTCAAATTTTGAGAACTACCTTGTAAAGAATTTTAAAGGATGACTCAGTTGAAATAACAAAAAAGGTGTTTTGTACTTACGAATTGTACTGGATGAGCCGACACATGGGGTTGTTCATATGCACTTCGGTTTTTTAACGTTTCCAAGGTTGCACTTTCTTTTTTTGTGGAAAGAATCTACCTTCTTACCGTCCAACTAAGGTGATGAAATCATTAAAATGACGAATGATTTCACTATTGTATTTTCAGGAGCTTTTTATTCTGTTATTCCAGTTATAAATTGCAGGAACAGTGTATTTCGTAGGAACGAAATCCATTTATTGCAAATAAACCATAGTAGTGAGTTGTGATAGATTAAATGCTTATCAGGGTTAAGAACTATTTTAGTTGTTCTTTGCCTTCAACAGCACTCGTTAGAAGGAACAAGTCTTTTTTTATTAAATAAGTCTAGTTTATAGTGAACAGTATCACACAAGCACTAAAATCAATCGATATCAAGCTAATGAGTGAGTTGTTCGACTAACAGGGAAGAGCTACTTATACGATGGAAGTTTTTGTTTCTGGTGTTTGAGAATAAGGTGTTTTTCGTAACAATCGGAAAACGTAAATCACTTCTTGAGCAGATGAATTCTACAAATTGTCAGCATTATAAACTTAATGCTCATCAAATATTTATATTCGTATTTTCTATAGTATTTGTATTTATGATAAGTTAATACCCCATAAGTCTTGTCACAAGCTTCTGCTGGGTTTGTTTCATGTGAAATCGATACTTGCTGTATCGTTTGCCTTGTTGTTTAGTAAACAGTTAAGTTATACATACATAAAAACAGCAGCAATATGATATGACAGTGATATTTTTCAGAAAAAGATCTGCATAATAGTAACAGTTTTTGTGATTCTGCTGGTGACCATCCTATGCATCATTATTTGGGTTACCTCTGCAAACGCCAATTCTCCAAAACAAAGTAGTGTTGACGGAAACCCGGGACCGAAAGCCAAAGCCTAGCACAACAGATTCGCCAAGCTCTACGCGTACAGGCGTACTGTTTTGTACGGGTCTAGGCTGCTATTTCACAAGGGTGAAGATACATTTTTCGAAACTGTACATAGTTCCTCGTACTGATGAATTGTTTCATTGGCTGTGATCCTTTATTTGCCATGTTTAACGTGCTTATTGTAACTACTAATTTTTATGTTTTGTTCAGAGGCACTGCATTGTCGTATCAGTGGTGTTTTTTCATTCAGGTGTTGTGCTGTGATATGTTTGAGAACTTTCTTTGATAGCGGTTTGTAGCACGTTAATTAGTGATATTCTTAACGAAAAGCTCCACTTATCGCTCGCTAGTGGTTAGTATGTGGTGAAGATTATCGTGATGTTTTGACTAGTCTGCATGAAATTGTCATTGGTTTTTTATTGTTATTTAAAAATCCTACCTATTCACAAATTCTACAGTGGAGCACCTTGTGCTTCGTCTGATATCACCTAACCTCGATGTGCACTATAGATCTGCGTTGTGGGCCAAATCGTCCCAATACTAGCAACAGATCGAAGCGTTTTTTTGTAGGGATTAGATTCGAAATTTTCCCTTGGTTTCTATTTTTGCGATTCGGCGTAGAAATCCATAGCAAACCCGCAATTTAGGCTTTGCATTGATTATCCATTCTTAAGTCAAGATAAATCACTGGGCGTTTATCAATCTTTGAGAGATATGTCAAGCATTCGACCAAATTAAGTACCGTAGCAGAGGTGATTGAATGCATATTTCGCCCACACAATATTTGAAGGGTCCCACAGATGCGTCAAGTCAGTGTTTTTTATCCTCGCAGACAATAAGCCTCGAGCGTGGGATCGTGAGGGACAGATATATACTGTGGGGTACTCGTAGCCATTTGATTAGCCCATGTTTGAGCTCTAAAAATTTTAACAAATGCACGCTTATGTACTCTTGTTGTGTTAGTCTGTGAAAGTCTATCAAATACGTTAAGTTCCTAGGAGTATTACTAAATTTCGGTTTAACGTAGTTCATGAGACTCATGAGATGCATGGTCAGCAAAAAATATAAGAACTGAAAGGTTTTCCTTAAATTACACATTTTTTCCGCAGTTAAGTTATTTTTTTTCTCCACCTTGTTGGGACATTATCATAATAAATATTCATTTTTGGTAAGTACTTCTACTTCATGTGTTATGTTGTGTTCATTTACAAAGTACACATAATGGCACAGCTTTTTTTCTTTCAGAAGAAGATTATAATTCTGATCTGCGTCGTCATCCTCATCGCAATTGCCGCACTAATTATTATGAGTTTCATTCCTGGAATATAGACGATCTTCTGGTGTTCTTTCTTAGGAGAAGAGAATCGGATAGAACCTTTGACGTTCTGTTACATTACTTGTCACATTCGCCTTTGGTTATGTGAACACTGTTACACACGTTGTAAAAAGTTAGAATTACCTTTTTCATTGTAACATTTTCCCTAACTGTACAGGGATCGAGATGTCCACGAGCTTATCCCATTATTCCACAAGTACGTTTAAATTAGGAGCAAAACTTAACGATAGAACTGGTGACAGTGTGACTCGCTTCTCCTCGGCATCTAGAATGGAGTGAATATCAAGGCACAGTGAAAGCTACTGTATTAACTGTATTCCAGACATTTGCATATTCGACTCAACGCATTGGAGCTTGAGTTCTTTGAGATGTTAATGCTTTGATGGACACCTCACTACAAAATTCCCACAGTTTTATTTTTCTCGCTAGAGGTAGTCGTGTAGAACGATAATTAGCAATTAAATTAGTAGCTGATGGGGATTTCGTGTCCCTCATACATTGGGCAACAGAATACAAATCTTCGTAGTGCCTACTGCCCAACCAATGTGTTGATGCTATGAATCTATGCTAGATCTCATGTTTAATAATCAAAGTGATTTTTACATGGAAGGTTTTAATTTTCTACACCGTGTGTTACGGGCCAATAGACGATAGGTGCTTCATTGTTTCCGTTTTCTCTTTTCTTTCGGTCTTATGGCAACTGGATCGTTTTCGTTCTGCTTATAGACGGTTAAGGGCTTTTTGCCGAATAGCTGAAAAGCACCACTACTACTGACTCTTGTTACCAGTTGCCGTTCACTTAGTGGTGGCGTGCACTGTTGACCACAGAACATCTGATGTTTGGTAGACCAATTTGCAATATCTCCACATATTTATAAGCTCTTGCCTTCATTTCCTTTGTTTCTTTTTCCTCATAATTCATTTTATGTTTTTGTTAATCAAGTCTATGTGTTACGATGAGCAATATCTTAATGCAATTGTATAATCTTCATTTTATGTCCTTGTTCTACTCAAAGCAACAGTTTGATGTCGTTCTCTCTGGTTCACATGTTGAAAGCTCGACTTTTCTTTCTAGATTGGTGGTGAGGGTTGAAATAGAAATAGAGATAGAAGTAGAAATAGAACTGGCTCTTCTTGTAGAGATATTGGTAGCTTTTCACTGCCACTCTTCTTTAACTAGTGTAATGTCTCATTTCTAATGCAATATGTAGAGTTAAGCGTGGAGCTCTGTGCCATAGAACTCTACAGGGTTATTACCCATTATCTCGCTTGAGTAGGTTTGTTTTTTAATGCACGCGTTTTTTTCTTTTTTCCTCTTTACTTTGAGTATAAGAACGATCTCGTCTTGTGAATAATCTCTAATAAATACAATAAATTGGTTTTTTAAATATGGTTTACGACACCAATCCAGTGTGTAATGAACCGTTGACCCGAAATGAACTGCTCGCATTGATTTCGATGCATAGGGTGGGAAGTAATTGTCGAGCTCAACGTAGAAGTAATCTGTCTGAGTTCATAATGAGTTTTTCAAATTGAAACAATTACGAGGAGACTTCAATCGTATAGAACCAACATATATAAAACTAGAAAATGCAAGTCTTTGTTAATCATATGCAAGTTCTTGTGTCCTTTCTATCCTACCGAGTCAACGGAGTGTTCAGAGCGACGTGACGAAACTCCTCAAGTCTATGGTTGAGACTACCGCGCTTGCGTCGACAGCTTAAAATCGATGGGATATCTTTGTCAAGTCGTCCATATTATTAGGGCGATGCGACAAGCTCGCACAGGTCACCATTTATCTCGAAAAATTGCGGCCACTTATCAAAAGCCGTCGTCGGACGACGTCTGTTAAAGCCGAACTCCATTTTGGTGTTTCGTCAATGTTCTTTTCTTGAAGTGAACATGGGCTAGTCCTCAGCTGGTCAGCTGGTTGATTAGACAACATTTTCTACCTCGTCTAAAGATTGGATAGTAGTTGAGAAACTTCAGAAGGATATTTGGTAGAAGAGGAAGAAGCGATTGAATTTGCGGCTGTGCACCGGATACTTCCCATTGCGCTGTTTGCGACAGCTGTTCATACGTAGTTTCCTTCATTGCAGCTGCATATACAGAGTAGAGGTAGTTGTGTGAATCTGTGCGTTTTTCACGTGTTAAAAAATATCAGGTCAAAACAAGAAGACATCTTAAGAGGGGGGTACCGAAAACTGATGTCGTTGACGGTGTTTCATCATGAAATAGAAAGCTTACTTAATCGGCAAATTAAAAGCTGTCCATAAATGGCTCTAGAAAAGGACATAAAGAATAAAACGTTCGGCATTGACAACTTCCTAAGGGATGCGCTGTGCACTCCATGAAATCGCAGAAGTGAATGAAAGCGTTTTTGTTCTATGCAACGACATGCGAGGCCTTTCGATGTAGCAAGTCAGCTTTTGTGCCAATTCAGATTACCCTGGCACAAACGGGGACATGGTTAACCCGGGACGCTGAGTCGAACTAACGAACACGTGTGCATTGCAGGCCACTTCTGAACACCGCTTGCACCCTTTTGCTTTGAAAACTGGTGAAAATCTGCAGTGCAGTTGTTCGGGTCTCGCTGTCCAGAAGAAGTACGCTAGATCCATTTACATGCTGCTAATTACTACAAAACCACGTCGCCAGCTTCTTTTATTCTATGCTAGGAATAGTTAGTGTTCTATGTCAACGCAAGCTATTTTTGGATTTGGTAGTATTGCTTTTAATGGTCTATAACCTGTAATAGGTTTATCGCATTTAGCATGGATGAGAATTGGTCCATTATACGGCGTCTGAGCGTTGACAACGTTGCTGAATTAATTATTTGAAGACCTGCTCATTATTCGACTTTCGTTGATCGTTGAGTAACGTGAACGGGCGCTATTTAAGTCTCCATTCGTCCCCTGCCACATGCCATAGTAGCCCAGTGGGTCCTATTCACTTGATAGACTTGCTAAGCATCATATTTTTCTTCTACGTTTTTAAAGAACAGTTCTGGCCATCGACTGTATGTACGTTCGAGAGTGCCGAGTGATCTTGCTTGCTGCTTATGTAGTGAGTGATCACATTTCTGGCACCTGCGTTAAGGATGGGCATGAAGTCGGGCGTTTTTTGTTCTCGTCGATGGTCTGAGAGCTCCTCAAGCCGCTCGCTTCCTAATGTTCAGCTCTGGAGCCAAGTCTTTTGTCAAGTCGACTTCACGGTCTCTATACACATACGTCGAGCAATCGAGTATGTTCAATTCATTGAGCATGAATGGGGCATTACAAACAGTTGCGATCTTAATGAATATTGTCTTCTTGAGATATAGCCGATTTCTTTTTCTACAAGAATTGTCGAAGTCAGCCTCTGTTCACTTCGCCTGGTTAACTTTTGATGTTACAAGGATGATATCAGCAAAAGGGAGTCTACCAGAGAAGACGTGGAGAGCATTTGTTAGAGGCAACTTTACATGATCATATCGAATTAAATATGGAAGCTATATATCAATTCGACAGGTAAAAAGCATAACTATGAAATTGAATGAATACCATATTGGCTATCTTTTTAGATGATTAATTTTGCGAGATCATATTTTACACAGATCCCAGTGCTTCATTCATTCTGTTCCTCTCCCGGCATACCACCTTTAGGGCGAGATGTTCCTTGAATATTTTCTTACTTTTTATGAAAATCCTTGAATGTTGGTGAAGCAGCTTTTCCGTAGAATCCTGGGATTGCCGTGCTAAGGCGTTTCCATGTCCTCGCCAGATGCAGTGGTCAGAATTTGATAATCGGCAAGAGTTCTTCCCACAGAAGTCTTAGTAATTTTTGGACTCTGGAGGGAGGATAGGCAAAGTTGGCCTATAGCGAGATCGAAGTAGGGGTCTTGCGCGTGTTGTTGTAGGTATTGAATTCATTGAAAGCCAAATTCGTAAACTTGGGTACATTTATGAAGTTCAATGAAATAACGCTGGTATGGAGAAACATGAGATAACAGATAGCTCGTGTCACCTCCACTGTTTTATTCAGTGTGCTACTAACAATATCGAGCTTCTTAGCGCAGTGATCGGAGCGCCCTGCCATAAACATGGGATCGATCCTTGCGCCTCATGCCCACCAAGACCTCAATCACTCTGGGGTCGGCAAACTGGGACCAGACTTGTCTGGGAGGATAGCAACACTGGCTCGATACATCGATAGGCCACCGCGAGTCATTGTAAAGGCCACATATGCATCCAGTTACCTCCAACGATGCTTAATGAAGTCGAATGCATGGCGCATCCCGCAAGGATTGATCAACGCCGAGAGCTTTATCTTTTTATTTCATCCTTATTTTGCTTGTGTTCAACCCATTTGAGAAAGATTTGGTTGGGCACTGTTATGATTAGAATTGACTGTCATTGATTGATTAATGCTACAAAAAAATGTCGTAAGTCCGTCATCCACGACTTCAATTTTCCAGCAATTCCTTGAAAAGTTCTTGTATTGGAGCTCTTCAGATGCCGACTACCTAACGTTGACGTCCATCCTTCCACTGTGCAGTTTCGATTCGACGAAGTGTCCTGGCATTTCAGCTCAGCACAACCGCTGTTTGGAATTCCTTTCGGGTCAAATTGTCCCCACACAGCAACCGACCTCCAGAAATCCCTGCGTTTCGCTTTCTTACGGTAGTCGCTGCAAGTTTGCCGTAATTGATGGATGACGTCTACGACCGCGTTCTGCAATTTGCGTACTCTTTCGAACTGTTTCTTTTCCAAATTGCTTAGATTTACTGTTTTTTACTTTTTAATGGCCTCGATGAACGACATATAGGTAAATGGGAGTTCTTTGGCTTAGGTTTACTATTTCTTTATCATTAAATGGTAAGAAAATCGATAATTTATGAGTTTAGCACACTTCAATAAATGTTTGAGTTCTTTCTCAGAGTTTGAGTAGAAGCCACATCTTCTCATGCAATTAACGTGAATCTTACGAACGTTTCCTATTCGGAATACATTGTTCTTCAGTGTTTAGGTGGATTGAGATTCTGTGGTTAACGCGTAATGTTTCAGTGAAATGGACTTCACGTCGTCGGATGTGACCGATCGGTCGAAGCCGTTCGATTTCGATGTCACTCACAGAGACCTCATCCACCAAGTTCGTTTTGTGCTACCCATGCCCCAGTTTGTTGTTTTCTTTCCTCTTATTCTTCTTATTAGCGCTACCTTAGCCAGTATTAGTTTCTATTTGGTTATTGTTCTCGGTTGCTTTTGATCATCACGGTCGACGTCTAGCCACCTGCTCCAGCGACATGACTTTGTCAGTATGGGATCGATGTCCTGACGGTTCATGGAAAAAAGCTGCAAGTTGGAAGGTGAAGTGGAACGAATCGAATTCATTGTTTCTCCTAATTTCTAGGATATGTTCACATACCAATACGGAATTGTCATAGGTTCACGGTGGTGCCGTCTGGAGAGTCGTATGGGCTCATCCTGAATTTGGCCAGTTGCTTGCCACTTGTTCGTATGATCGTAGCGTTCATATTTGGGAAGAGATAAGAAATTACCCTGGTGGAGGTGAATTTAACCATTCTTTCTCCTTAATTTTTAAATCTTACTTTCACCTAATATTTATTATTCCAGTCTTACACTGTTGTGAACCTTTTCATCAAAGCACGACCAAAATAAAAATGATTTATTTTCCAAAAATTTATCTATTATAACCTGACTGCTGTGTCAATATATAGCAACAATGATGCTGAGATATTTGCAAAACTCCAGATCGCAGGTATCTGTGATGGGGATCAAACACGCTATTACGTTTTCCGGTGGCTAACGCGTTCACCACCACACCCCGGGAGTCCTAGAGTTAGTATATATAATTGGGTACTAGTTTCTGTTCTCTTCACGAATTATATTATTGTTTCTGGGGATGAGCCATACTATTTAGAGACACAGAAAATCTCGCCAAGAAAAAGCTGTAAAGCTCTGGGCGTTGATCAATCCTTGAAGGATGCGCCATTCATTCAACTTCATTACGTATCGTTGGGGGTGACTGAATGTATATCCGACCTTTACAGTGACTCGCGGTGGCCAAGCGATGCATCGAGCTAGTGCTGCTATACTTCCAGACAAGTCTGGTACAAATTTGCCCACCCCGGAAGGATGGAAAGCTTGGTGGGCCTTGGGCGCAGGGACCCATCCTCTTTGTATTGCAAGGCCCCTACTACGACCACTGTGCTACACGTGCCCTTCATTTATTGTTTCTGGGAATGGACCATATTTTTCGAATAAACAGAAAATCTCGCCGAGATCCCGCTACAGAAAAGAGCAGTGAATTGAGAATGCGTGGATTTTATGAACATATTAGTATTTTCGCAGCACTTGATTGTCTACAGCATTTGAAATTCAGTAGTTTAGAAGGTCACAAAGGAGGACGATGGGTTCGAAAGGCATATCTGACGGATAGTCGGTCAAATGTGACGGACATAGGGTTTGCACCGCGTCATCTCGGTCTTATTTTGGTTAGTGCTAGCTACGATATTAAACGTTTTACCTAAAATGTAGTTGATAATGTAGCCTCATCTAAAGAAGAGAAAGCAATCAGTAAAGTTTTGTTTTTCGTATTTCGCTTTACTCGAGAGTTCTTCAACAAATCGTTTTTTGAGAAAAACTGTTTTGAAAACGTCAAGATCGTTGTGATTATAGGTGACAATTAATATGTTATCTAATGTGGATAGTTAATCTACTCACATTATCTTCGTTTTCAGGCAACAGTGTCAGCACAAGGCATTGTTCGTATTTATGAGGCTGCTGATGTCATGGACCTTTCTAGGTGGTCTCTATGTCACGAGCTTCAGGTACTCTTCAAAGTCGCATATTTATTTCGTCCACTTAAGTTTTCAAATGGTGCGTCGACTTCCATGCCATGAAATTTGCATTTGTTTTGTCGACATTTTGCTTTAGAGGTTTTTAATGAGTGTCTGGTGTACCGGCAGAAACTCATTGCCTTGTGGGGGCTTTTTTAACGAATTATACAAACCTTATCTGGTGAACTAAACTTCATTCAGAAACATGTCCGCTTATTTGATGGATGGTAGTACTACAAGACCTTCAACCCTCTCATTTTCCATTCTACTGCTCTTTTCTCCGTTCAGTCATCAGGTTTTGTCACCTCATGAGTGACCTCTTTTGCCTTTGAGTTCGACGATTATCTCATCGGATCTGAAGTTAAAATGTTTTTAAAGGTTCCAAGTGCGTAATGGGGCCTATTTTTTCGATTGCGGTTATTTATAAGAGGCTACTCAAGCTGTCCTTGATCTGTGAATAGGATTTTTAACGTGTTTTTCAAACCGAATATCATTTAGGCTCAGTAGTACCAATTAGTACCCTCTTGAATTGTTAAGCTAACAATCTAAGAAAGAATTTTTAACACAGTTGAAGTGTTGATGGACGTCGTAGGTGCCCCGCCATTATAGCAGTCGTTCAATTATAGGAAAATAGGTAGCCGAATTTTTTTCTGTTGGTGGCCAAGGCCTTCTCTGAAAGGTCCGACCGCTGCTTATGCACTTTTTGTCCTTCTCGGCCTTCTTCCTCTCTTACATTTTTCATGTTCGTTCGAGTATATGTGGGATTTCGTTGGTCTTTCAATCAATAATTCAATCATATCGTACTTTTGGTTTACTTGTGGGCTAGGGTTTCTTCTGATTTTTTCTTATTTTGCTATCCCACTTCGCTAACCTCTTCGAACGTCATGTCTGCTCGAGCGACTGTCCTCAAGCCATTGGCGAACCTACACACGAATGCGAACACTTCTATAAATGACCGACGCAAGAAAGAAATCAAAACAAGTGGAAAAAGCGTTGTTGTCTTCTCTGTACTGTTTGCTATGACGGTCTAGTATGAGGCTATAACATGAAACATTTGGTACTTTTGTGGTGCATTTATAAACATAAGTAGAGTTTGAGTTTTATCCATTTGCCAGGGTTTTTTGAATTTCACTTGCTGAAGTGTCTGAGCTTCACTTATACTCCTTGATATATTGTCATCTTCATGAGCGCAGTCAACAACTTAACGCAAACCGAGCGGTAGTTATGAAGAGACCTTCTATCACAGTTCTTTTGCAGGATTTACCGTGCAAGAGGTTTTTTGTGGGCTCGAAATTTATTTGTTTTGAAGATATACTGTCATGTTGGTTACGAGAAGTGCATGTAATTTGTTGCTTCCGGCTGGAACTCGGCTGTCGTGCTTTCTGCTTTTAATATAAGTGGACAATCCAGGTGGTTATTCTTCGTTTTGATTCCTGTAATTTAAAATTCGAGTGGAGTCTCAAGACATTGGAGGTGGAACTTTCTTCATCATCAACATTAGATGACAGCAAGTGGTTGGAGTCATTTAGCAGGGTTTATAGTGTAGTTAATAAATCAGTTATTTGTTAGACACATTGGGATTTTCCTTCAGTTCTTCCTAGCTTTGCTTCCAGCTCTTTCTGCTTATACTATTGTAAATATATCCACCTGAAAGACTTCCGTAACTTTCGTTGATTATCTCTAATGTGGACTCTGGCTTTGTTGAATATAGCATCATTTTTCTGCACTCATTTCGGGTCGGTAGCTTCATAGACGGAAGGATTGACTCGCATTTCGCTTCATCTTTCACCTGATATTGATATAGGAAAATGATCCAATGAAAATCTCTCCTTTATAACGACACTACTTGTCGTTTTACTATGTGGTGACAGGATTTTTTTTCCAGCTTATTGCTGAATAGGGTCTTCACATATGCCAAGAAAGCGCCATTTCTTGTTTTTGAGGATGGGTTCGACTTTTGATCATTGGGTTGTTTTAGTAATCGAATCCCATGTACAGCGGCGGTTTTATTCGAAAATGAGTTTACTTGGAGAAGAGATATCTTTAGAGAAGCATAGCAAGAGAGTTTCCATGCTCATCTCGGTCATATTCTAAATTTCTGGACCACTTTGCTTTCTTGTTGCATTTTCCTACTATCCTGGGGTTGAGGTGCTGGGAAAAAAATTTTGTAGGACATTTCTTTGCGTATCAGTTCCTCCCACAGATATCTCTCATATGAGGGATCTCGAGCCGATTAGTCGTGAGGCTACGTGGCGCGGACCAAAGCCGACCTTTGTTTCCCTGAGACGCAGGTGGATCTAAGGGATGGACTCACTGTTTCTGCTGCGCCGATTTGGCACATACTTTTTGTATTTGCTTGGCGTATTCATGCATGCGCGTGTGGGTGCGTTCTCGCTTATACGGATTGTGTTCTACGAGTCAATTCGGCCAAAAGCCTGCAATCAAGTGGCAAGGAAGTATATGGGAGGCGGTTAGGAGCCGCGTCCAACAAATAAGCTCCATGTCCACTCTGAGAAAGCCTGGCAAGCTACCCGTGAGCATGCCCAGCCTCCACGTTCAGAGTCTAGTAAGCTACCCGTGGGTATCAAAGATGCTAAACGCTAAACGCAGTAAAAAGAAACGGGCCTCATTCCCCTAACCCCGAAAGAGCCCCCATTTTCGCAGCATTGGATAGGACGAGTACGGAGAGACTGCTAAAATCTCAGGGCCAGTGGAAGCTGCCTAGATCACGAAGAACTATGGTGACGATCTGTACCTACAATGCACATACACTTGCATCCGAGTCCTCGATAGAAGACTTGCTCATACAAGCAGGAAGGATAAGGACAGCCATGTGAGCACGCAGGGTTTCGAAAAAGATTTAGTACTATGGGCCAGACCCACACGATAACAAGACTCATTGAAGTATCGCGAGAGTACAAAAGACCGCTCTGTTTCACTTTCATTGATTTACACAAGGCCTTTGATTTAACTGAGGTAGAAGCAGTCATGGAAGACCTTGATAGTCAAGGAGTCCCTACTCAGTGCATAAAGATTCTTCGTGAGCTGTACAAAAATTTCACAACCAAGGTATCACCATTCCACAACGTTGTTAACATTAACGTCAAAAGAGGAATTAGGCAAGGCGATACCATCTCGCCAAACTTAACGCCACCCTCCAGGACGTCGTGCGAACATTGGAATGGGATAATATGGGAGTGAAAATCGTTGGTCGGCAGTTACACCATCTTCGCTATACTGATGATATCGTCCTTATAACACCAAACATTAGCCAAGCGGAACGTACGCTTGCCGACTTCGATAGAGCCTATGGAAAGATTGGTCTTCGACTAAATCTCACAAAAACGATGTTCATGAGGAGCGGATTAGTTTCGTATGCCCCATTCACGCTCAACATAGCGAATATCTTCGAGTGCTCTAGTTATGTCTATCTAGGTCGGGAAATCAACATGTTGAAACATGTTGAACGACTTAGCTCCAGAGTTGAGCAGGAGGAAACGAGGGGCTTAGGTAGCTTTCAAGAGCATTGAGAATGTAGTGAAGAGAGCAAAGAACACCCAACTCCATGCCCACTTTTTCGACTCAACGGTACTTCCTGCCCTAACGTATACGTCAGAAACCTGGTCGCTGCGTAAGCAGGATGAAAGATCACTCAGCGTTATCGAACGCGCAGCCGAAAGGGCGATGCTAGGAGTATCCCGTTTCACACAAGAAGGGATGGGATCCGAAGCTCCCACCTGCGTCAACGATCGAAAATTAAGAATGCCGTTCTTTACGCCAAACAGTCGAAGATAAGGTGGGCCGGACTTGTAATGCGTGTGAGTGACAACCGATGGACAAAAGCCGTTAATGACTGGATTCTTTGGGATGTCAAACGCACTGTAGGAAGACCACCGACCCGATGATCGGAATCCTTCACGAAGAGCCTAGAAGAAAGCTATGATGCTGGACGAGTTCCTAGAGCGAGCAGAACCCACTGGGCTACTCTTGCACGCGACAAGGAGAAATGGAACATTTACTGGCGTCCGCTCAAGTCACTCAACGATCAGCGATACTGCAGGTGATGTGTTCGTCCAGGTAATCCCAAAGTGATTTCATTCGCTCGCATTATATTCGTATGTTTCTGAGTATAAAGTTATGATACTAATTCTCGTTTGACCAAGAGGTTGAAGAAGATGAACTAGCGGATGATAAGATCTCCGAGTCGGCAGGATAGATTAGAGATAGGTGCGGGACAAAGCACTCGGCATTGGTATTTGTTACATGGCTTCCTTGGGTAATAAGAAATATTTCGTCATTTAATTGTTGAGTTTCGATCTTTTTGCTTTCGTCCTGCTCGATCATGTGAAACAGGACGTGTTCCGTGGTACACATGATAACGTACAGCTCGTTACCAGAAAGTAATGTTCTGAACTGCGTGTCCAAATATAAAGTGGTCTTCAAAGGATGTCGTAAACGTGTGGTTCTAGTCTGATTCTCATGATACTGTTCGTAATCGGAGATAGGGTTTTCTTTCACCGATTATCTTATTGCGCATTGCCGTAGAAACACTCACTGTGCGGGGTTTTGCCGCGGACGTACTACTGTTTGAACGATTTGTTTGTTTGATTTTTTTTTAATCGTCATTTAGCCACATTAAGACTTTCTCACTTCGATACCACAAGCACCAGTTGGTCGTTCTAGGCAAGAGATGTTTCCCAGTTTATGACGAAGTTTGCTCATGGACGGTAACTATTCCTGCATGGTTTGGTATGTTCCTGGCTGCGTTTCCAAATTTGAATGTCGAACTCCGTTTCAAGATGGTTACCATGGTGGTGGATGCATTAAAGTTTAACACCCAGGAACATCTGCAGCCGTTAGGAGGCGTAAATTGTAGGATGGCCTCAATTCACATATATATTCGGATATTTGCACAATCCGTCTTCACGAATTGTGCTGGTCCCAGCACATTTGCCATTCGTTCCTTTCCCTCGCAATCATCATCCATGGTGGTGGTTTTATTCGAGCGTGGTGGCGCATGCAAGTTTCATACCGTGATCTGTAGAGTAACTAACGAGTACAACCGGTTAACTTTTTAGTTACGAATACGTCCATTCAACGTGTAGGTTGCCGTTCTTGGGGACGCCTGCATTCTCTTTAAATCCACTATGGAGTTGGTTTCCTCCATCTGTCGTTTGTGCTTCTCATTATTTCATACTTATACTTCATTATCTCATTATTGTCAACGGCACATCTGTTTCGCTATCGATGTACATTCTCCTGGTTCCCGAAGATATGAGAGATTTCGGAGATCAGAGCGAATTCGAGCTAAATATTGAGAATGTCGTTTATATTTCAGAAGACATCGCTCAAGCGCTCTGTGAGTAGTGCGCGCACTCTTGACATGGGTGAAATATATCAGCTCATGTCTCTGCTGCATAACAGAGCTCTTGGAGCACCACTGAATTGAAAAGGTGTGCTCGGATTTTTGGGTTCTTCAGTTGGTAGATGGGTTCCTAGAGAGGCCCAAATGAGGCTCAAGCTGCTCTCGTTCTCCTGATTTATTCCTCCTACATGTTGTTTGCTATATTCATCGATCGCCCAAGGTTTACGTACGAGGTGGTCTCTGCATTCAGAGAACCGTCTAGTTCAATCTATTCGCCTTAGCATCATGGGTTTATTTCATAAACTGGCTCTTCTTCCGATTTATGCGTACTCCGATCATTTTACCCGCTTCGGTGAGCTCACTGATCGTCGTCTCTGCTTCGCTGGTACTTCTTGAGAAGATGACGGTGTCGTTGGCGACTCGGTACGTATGTCTTTATTGTCCCAATCGAGTGGCATCATCATCCATTGCAATTCAGCATCAAACAGCTTTGGCGATGTCGTGTCGTCTTGTCCAACTCCTTTTCCTGTGGGTATGCTAAAAGGCCTATAGAAAAGCTGTATTTTCGTAGTGCAGTTCCAACAACAGTCAGACGGAGTTCTTACGTAGGACGAGTCCACTCCTTGGTGAAAGAGCGCTGATAGGATTCCATTCGTTTCGACACCGTCAAATGCTTTTTCATAGTCGATAAAAATTAGGGCCATCGGCAGGTGGTATTCCCGACAAACTTTGGGGACACTAGACACGGTTTGGACGTGGTGCCTGCAGCAAAATCCTTGTCGAAATCGTGCTTGCTGTTCTGGCTCCATTCATATACATATATGTATATATATATATATATATATATATATATATATATATCATGACGCATGTTTCTGACGAACGACCACGGTCGATGGCCGCGGTGGGTGCATCCTTCGAAATATGACGTTTTATCATCTTGCATAACACTATAAAATGCTGGTTTCGCTTAAATCTCTTTGCTGATTTGGGTCTTGTGTGTGGGACTAGTGGCATTCAGATAGCATAATACCGAATTTGTTTTCCCTTATAGCCAAGTTCAAAAGTTCTTACATATCTCTTTATAATAGCATATTATCACATTGAATACTGTTATATTAAAATAAAGTCCAGCTATTGATTGCAACAGAGCAAATTACATCAGCATTTCTCGCCTTTTTTTTTCAAATCAAGTCGTTCTGCAGCCACTACATGTACTCGTCGTCCTTGTAGTATATCTGTTATTTACATGAAACTTATCATGTGCTTGGGTAATAATTGTAACGGCAGGAATTTCTTCTTAAGTTGGATTTCACACCATGGATTTTCTGGAGATCTTGCTTTGACCTTGGGGTGTATAGATATTGATCTTCAGTAACAGATTCAGATTTCTAGCTTTAAATAAAGCTGGTTAATTTCGAATATATTTTTGGCAAAATTGGTTAATGATTAGGCCTAAGAAGTAGCATGCTTATTGAAGTCGAACTGCTTTCTGAAGCCAAAATTTGAAGCTGCTGTGCGAGCGAACGTCTCTGAAAGCATCTGTGCTAAAGGTAAAGAAACGAGCAGCTTGGGAGCTCAGAAAGTAATGAAAAGAAAAAGGAAGGCAGCTGTATTTTCGATTTCACCACCGTTAATGGCGTAACATCTCTTTATAAGATCTAAAGACTATGGAAGTAGGATGGAACAGCAATTAGTAGTATCGATCGTACTATCGAGATGGTGAGACTGCGTGTATATAGCATCGCACAAGTGAATGGGAATGTTCCGTTCAATGTCGCCTATTAAGTGCGAAGCTTCATATACGCCAGAGACGACAGAAAGCTGTCAGACTGGACAATGAACGACAAACGGTGAGCAGCAGTATTAATCAGTAGATGGCTGTATTAATGAGATATCGGACAAAGAAGTAGAAGAACAAGAACCCGATAGTTAGACTTCTTCACGAAGATCCTAGAACAAAAATGTGCATTTTGTGTTGATTGAGCGAGTAGAAGCTGCTAGGCTGCTTCATTCTTTTCGGCACACATATGCATTCGATGAAATTATCTTAGAGCAAAATTTTAACGATTTTATGCTATATTTATATCGCTTCGGAAAAAGATTCGTAAATACGTAAGTATTTTTATATTTTCTACTGGAATTTGGTCCTTCATGTTCCACGCCAGTTTAAAACAAAACATGAGCTCTACACGAGAAAAACGCAGTGGGCTCCTGTGACAGTTCACTAAAAACGCACAGCGTCGCAAGTATTTTCATAAGTTTTGCTCTTCCTTTCATGTGAACCATGTTCATTCATCCTTAAACCGAATTTCATCTAACCTCGGCTACAATAATCAGCAATTTTGTATCTGGTCAATCATATAAGAATTTGCTTTTGTTTGTTTAGTTTTGACCAGTATCTCAGGATTTTCAAGCAATTTCCGTTATATAATCGTTGTTGTTTTACATCGAAATGATTGAAAACCACCACAGAAACGAAATTTCTGTGCAAATATCTAACAGCGAAGTACTTTTTCTCACAAGGAGAACGTGCTGAAACAAATAATCAACCATTATTTTTTACCAATACAAACTGCTTCAAGTTATTTAGATAATGGGACACACAATCTTGATTAATATCCTGAATGGAGGTTCCATTAAATTTAGGCGTTCTACACAAGATGTGGATGCGTGGAATGGAGTCGATCTCGTATACATCGACCTCTCTTGGCAGTTTCTTCAGATGACAAACGTGCTGAGAACGACGAAAGAATCGTGATTTACGAGTATAGTGAAACCTTAAGGTAATGAGTTGGCGTTCTTTGATTTTGTTTGATTTATTTCTTAACTTTAATCTTCAAAAGAAGCGTTGGAATTCCTTTTCTATATAATGGAATTAAATTTTTTGCTTTCTCTAGAACTTTCAATTTTATCGATTCATTGAAGTGAATTTTCGCGACGTCTATCTGTTGATAAGACGGCTTTATCCGAAATTAATACACTTAAGGATTCCTGGCTCAAAACTTTGTACGATTTTCAGAAAATGGCAACGAGTTGCTTCGCTACGCCTTGATCTTGCCTTTCCAGTAACAGATCTTCGGTTCTCTCCTATCGCACTCGCCAACTCTCATCAACTAGCGGTTGCCGCTGGAGATGTACACGTGTATAATATCAAGGTATTTGGTCAAGACATCATTTTCTTTCTATGTTTTGTTTTCGATCTATTTCGAAACGTACGCGATGGTATATTCCTTTTTGTCCAAACGTAATTTGTTTCGTAATCAAGCAGTTGAGTGGTTTTTCCATGTTTATGCCACAAAATTTATCATATCCAATATTTTCCAAGCTGTATTAGTTGACTATCTGCCTTGCAAATGGTGGTTTTTCAGATACCAATATCTGCATTTATCGATGACGACAACAGCGCTCCTGAAAATATTCCAACTAACGCGGTGGAGTATTCTTCAAAGAAAGTATGTACAACTTTAGACAGATTTTTACATTATTAGTTAGTACAGAGAATTAGTGAGTCAGTAAGAGCTGTCGTATGAGTGAATTCGCCATGACAAGAGGTGTATTGGATTGCGAGGAAATTATGGAACTATGAAACTACCAACCATAATACTTTGGTTTCCTGTTAAACCATCAAAGCACATAAGTCTTGTCAGGGTATCGACAAAATGCATCAACTACTGGAAGTAGCTTAACTAATGCTGCAGCCTTATCACAGCTAAAAATGAAGAAATGGGGTAGAACGTGAAATCGAAGAATCATTCGTTTCCGGAACCTTAGAATTCTTAGCTACCAGAATGAACACATTTTTGTCTTGTTGGCAAAAATATAAATTTTCGAGGAATTATGTTTCGATTAATTAAAGTTATGTTTGAGCATACTATTAATTAAGCGAATTGTGAATTAACTGTTGACACTAGATTTTCACTTTGTGCCACATTCTTTATCCATTAATAATGTGCATCTCCCTTCAATCCCACCATAGTTCACGTCTCTCCATTGAAAGTGAACGCAGTCTGCTAATAGATGGAAAGAATATTACCGCTAAAAGGTAAATTGACGCTTATATTAATTTCTTTGGAAACTGAGTAGTTTCTTTCTACTTCTGTTCAGCAAACACGAGGTGCTATTTTATTTCTTTATTTACGCACAAGCTGACGATTCGGCGGATTTCGCCTTCCTCAGGGCCTGGAAGGGTTAAGTTGACAGCAACTCATTCGGCCAAACATCTCCATGACCAAGCAGAGAAAACGCTAAACCAAGATTTCAATCACATTTAGCATAGCTTTGCACACTCACCGCTTTCTATGAGTCTTCCACTGAGTATGTCGTGTGAAGACCGACCACACAGAATTCACATGGAAGCGTAATGTGCCCCTCCCATCAGAATAACGGGTTTGTATACTGTCCAATATCACGCGTGATAACGAGGCATTCCTCCCTGCTGTTCATTTTCGGATTCTTGGAATTAATCCAGAATGCCTCTAGAGTTTTGCGCGCTTGTGTTCCCGATTCTTGCGCGAGGATCGTAACCCTTACTTCAAAATCTTCTCCGTTATGTTTCTGCGTGCTATGCGTACCTAGTGGAGTACTTAGCTTACGTTTGCCGATTAGGTGTTCTTTTATACATACGCAGAGTGGTCTACCCGTTTCGCCAACGTATTCCTCCCCGCACGCTTTACAAGAGATCAGATAGACTGTACCCGGACTCATGCAGTCACCGTCTCTACCATTGGGGCAATTTTGCGTTGCCCCAAGACGGTCGTATAAGCGGTTACGAACTAGCTGGCGCCTTAGATTACTCGGTGGTATTTCGATTATTGTTACCGAATTCTCTAGACTGGTCCTTCTTAAACAGCGTTTTATAGCTGCACTTACTTCATTTGAAATGAAGGGCAGTATAAACGGGACCTTGTTGTCGCTAGAGGTATCGTTGGGGTACCTGTGGTTTCCTCTACACCTATCTCGAGCTACGGTTTCGTAGCTCTTAAAAATGGCTATTTGCCGCGCCATGTTCCGGGTCTGCTCTCTCTGTTGTCTTCCTGTGCACACGCTGGTAGCTGTTCGATACATGTTTCTCACAAGCGCCCTTTTCGTGTGAGAGGGATGAGAGAAGAGGTAATGAACGAGGAAGTTTTTACTACTTGGCTTTCGATACCACTTCGTAATGTAGCCGTTTTCCGGTAGGCTAATTTGCACGTTCAGAAATGGAAGCCAGTTTTCTTCTGGTTTCTCTCGGGTGAATTTAATATACTCTGACTGTGTGTTCAACAACTCGAAACATCTGTCGATTTCTTCTTGCGTTGAACAAATGACCATGCAGTCATCTATATATCTACAGTAGAGTAACGGACCGAGGTCGATTACTGGCGCTTCCACCTTAGACATGAATGCAATGGTAAGGCTTGGTGCCAGTCGTTGTCCCATTGCCAGCCCTATAATTTGTGCGTAATACCTCCCGGACCATCTGAAGATTGAGCAGTTTAGGCACTCCTTTAAAAGTGTCATCAACTGCTGAATCGAGAAGCCGTACATGTTTATTGCTTCTTCTTGTTGTATAAGGAGCTCGTTTATGGCTTGCATAGCGGAGTCATTCGACACGTTCGTATAGAGGGCAGTGACGTCGAAGGACTCCACCACGTACGCGCTGTTGGGTCGCGCGTTACGTAGACGATCCAGGAACATTTGGGTGTTCGTTAGATGAGCTGGAATGTACTTCAACAACTGAGTAAGTATTAGGGTTATTAACCACGTTATTCTATCCGTTGGCCCCTCGACGCAGCAAATGATAGGTCTAACCTTAAATAACGATGGATCGATAGACACGAGATCATCGCTGGATACTAACTTATGGGTTTTGATAAGTAAGTATAGGACTACTATAGGACTATGAGTAGTTTCTGTTTTTGGCGCTCTTGTACACAACTTTTTCTCTTAGTTAATTCTATTACTTAGAATAAAGACCGTTAGAATATACAGAATTTGTCATGGAGTTATAAGCATCTAATCATAATAAAGTTATTCTTTTACCAGAATCTCTGCTTTTTTGAAGCCCATGTTTGCAGAGTTTTACTATCTTCTCGATTAGGTGCACTAAAACTGTCGTTTTACTTGTTCTTAATCCTTCCGCAAGCTTTCTAAGTCAATCTTGGACTTGATATGCATGGACTAGTTTCATTTAATGTTCTTAAGTGGTCAACGGTTCGCGACCTTTTTAATTTGAAAGGTGTCATTCCTCTAATAAAACTCTTGAAGCCGACCTTGTACCATAAGTTTCTCTTAGTTTCCACATTGAACGTAACAGTAGTCTTTCGAGCCGTTTCAGCGGTCTTACGTCTAGTTTTACACCCATATGAATAAATGTCTTCATTTTCCTTGTTTAGTCCTAATATTTACTTTATTCTAAGATTCTAAATTGGAAACATATTAGCATAAAAAGCAAAAACTCCCATCCAAATATAGAATGAAGTTTGCACTGTGAAGTACTGTATAAAACGAAAATGGTATTTAACCTTATTTTCAAAAATGTCACTTGGAAAGCTGAGAAGACAAAACCGAAAGTATTTTGCAAAGCAAAAATTAACTTTCATTCTCTGTCAACGTAAAGTTTTTGTGGCGACGCCCATGAGCCAACTCCTATTCATTCCTCAGCAACTTGATTACAGGCTTGGTATGATTGACGTGCAGGATACAACCTGCTTGTATGCATTGGAGTACCTCACCAAACTGCTTATGAACATATCTGGGGGCATAGGATACGGAGTAAGCTAATCCACAAGGTCAATAGGCGCTTTTTCCCCGCATTTAACGTCAAATCCACCATCAATACACGCACAACTGTCTCGCGACCTAAAATCCTTCGCATCAAGTAGATCTGTTGCTTGCAGTATTTCTAGCCGCTAGCAAGTTAAGTTTCTGTCAGTGCAGTTGTCGTATATCTAAAGTTAAGGAATACCAACATTTTTTGCGTAAATTTTTTGAATAGAGTTGCCTTATACAACTTAAAGTGTTTGGGCGATGACATGATGAGCTCTGTTTCATTTTACAAAATGACTTTTCTGGGCAAGACATTTTGCAGGTTGCTGTTCTCGGTGATCAACAACGTGCTTGGCGTATCAAGTACAACGTTACGGGTACAGTACTAACGGCATCGAGTACTGACGGAACAATCCGAGTTTGGAAAGGTTTGTACGCTTGTGTGTATTGATTTGACTGTTGATGTTTTGAAAACTCTTCATTTTTTCTTAAAGCGATGTTCGTAAATCAATGGGCACTGTTAGCCGAAATGTCATCAGAAGACTATATTGAAGAACGAGAACTACTGAAAATGAAGGGTGTGCTATGTGAAACAGGTCGAGGTGACGGAGAAGCTTTTCACAGGAAGACCTACTACTGATTGTCGTCGTTTCCTTCCCAGTGACTTTTTAAGTTTTTAAAGTTATGTTAAGGTCCTACTGAATGTTCGAATAGCATTTATGCTGAAATGTCCAGATTTCATTGTTTTCTTTATCACGTAACTTTACGGATCTCATTCAATGAATTTTGTTCATAGAAATTCTTGGATTGCAATCGGGAATTGTGTTTTCATATGCATATGAGTTTCTGTTATTTTTTATTCTAATTTCTAATTATTCCGGCTGTTAATTATATATACGAGGTATGGTTTCTTTCGTCATTTTTATTTTCTTACTCTTCATCGCATCCTTTTGTTACCTCTGAGAGAACGTCCCTCAGATTTTACACCTGTCTAGGTTCCTGGATATCCATTACCGAGACATTCCTGGATATCCATTACCGAGACATTCCTGGATATCCATTACCGAGACATTCCTGGATATCCATTACCGAGTTCCTACTCACTTGGTGCACTTATGGTCTCATTTATTAAAGAATATTTCGTGTGGGTAACAGATGTCAATCACTTAATGTTGCGTTCTTGTTATTACAACGAAAGTGAAGGGCACGTGGCCTTTGCCGCATTTGTATGTTTTTTTTGAGGAAGAACGGGATCGTCTTGGTTATAGCTGTTGCAAAAACCCTAACACTTACAACAATCTTGAACCACCTCGTATTCATCAATGGGACTTCTGGTTTTCGTTTGAATCCTAAGTGATGATTCCGCACCTCTCGCTAGCATTCCAAAAATGGCTAGCTTCATCTTCGTATTTTATCTTGTAACTATATTGAAAATGTTGTTCCGTATTCATGTAAATATATGTGCATCTCTATCTTACGAAGACGATCAACACGCGCTTTCTGACCGTCTACGTCTTGATGGCATTGCTAACGGTTTGTTCAGTCGCACCGAAGTATTTTAAAAGTCTGGTTATAATGTCATCTTGCTTATATATGATGAAATCTATGTGTACTAGGTCAGTGCAAGGCGATTCATAGAATTATGGAAGTTGGAGTGGAGATCAGTTCGATATACTCTTTTCCTTTAATTCTTTTTTGGACTTATGAATGCTTAAGACGTGTATACGTGGGAATTGTCAATTGTAGTTTTCATATGTATCTTCGCTTTTTGACCATGAAACGCCAGATTTTGTTGTTTTGACTTATAATCACTACATATCTCACCATATCTGGACTCGATCTGTTGCGATTGGTGTTTAGAATTACCGTAGTTTTTGTGGGGTTCTTGTTAAGAAGAACTTAAAACGCCCACAATGCTGTTTCACCCTTGTCCAACTCCCATCTGGTCGTTCTTCATGTTCACTTTTTGTCTTCGTTGTATTGTTCATTAAGTTTGATTAAGCTGTTGGATCGTTGTCAAGTTTGCTCTTCAAAGGCATCGTCTTTCTGGAGTTAATGTGTAAACCAATTTTTCAATGTAGAAGGTCTAGTTTTCGTGGTATCCATGACACATGACCTTCGGTATGAGAAGTGATGTCATGAGTACGGCAGTGTGGTGGGCAACCTGACCATTATCTTCGACCTCATTTTATTTCGTCTCTCTTTTTACCTGCATGAACTTCATAAACTTTGACCTGTTGGTGGTCGTAGAAAGACATTTCGGATACACTGAATGCTCATATGGTGACTTTCCATGCTATAAGTTCCTATTGCCGACATTTGATTATGTAAAAATTCCTTGAAGAAGTAAGAGCATTTAAACGGTCAATGTTCGTTTTGTTTCTATTGTCAACAACATTTTAATATTTTATGGTCTTGTTTAATAAAGCTTTTTTTCAGCTTCGGAGTGCTCATGAAAAGCTGCTCGAGTTTCGATAGGCATACCTGATTCGTCGCCTATACCTGTGAATAGCCTAAAAATTTCAATTGTCCTCCTGCAACGTCTTTTCTCAACAATTTTATCTATCCTCTGTCTTTTTTATTTTTACTCTTTTTCGTTTCTCGTCATTTGAGTACACATGACCCGTCAGCGCACTCATCCCCTCATTAGTACCAAACGAATATCTGACATCACTGTTGTATCATTCTGTGTTCCTGTGTGGGTCTGGTCACCTCTAAGCGATCATATAAAGTGGAAAAGAACTCAAGCCGTCGAACTACAGAGAAAGAGGGAGAGAGAGAGAGAAAGAAAGAAGGAAAGGATGTGAACCGTGTATGGTCGGGAAAGTTCTACCGATTTTGACGAGATGCTTGCAAAGGAGTTCAAAACTATGTCAAGTACGTCTTATTTCCTAAATCGGAAATTCGTTTCGCATGGCTAAGAAACTCCGAGAAGAGAAGAAACATGGAGTTTGACGTAATTTAAATGTACGTTGCACGATTGGTAATCAGTGTTGTCCATAGAAGGTTCTCGCAAGGGAACCAGCAACAGCACATAATTCCATCGTATTAAAAGCAGAACTCAGAAAAGTTCTTTGAAAGTTGATGGAAATGTTATGATTGCAGTGTTCCGTTATCGGGATCGTGCACTCGTCACAATGACGTTGTCAACAGCTATTAGTCATTCAGTCAGATACTTCAAGAGTGTCACCTGCTCTTTTCTCACCATAATTTCCTTATTGCAAAAAGGCATTCCAAAATATTCAACCGGTTGATGTTTTAGTGGTATTTCTTATCAAGAAGTGAACCGGCTTTGAATTAGATCCTTCAGTCAATTTGTCCAAAACCTCACAGTGTCGCCACTGGAGAAAAATTGAGTAACGGAAACTGACGTAACTCATTTGTTGTTGAAAAATTGCTGGTAGGTCTTCGTTCTTTTGAAGTTCATCACTATAGAAACTTAAGCTCATAAATAAATCGAGAAAATACCTGATCTATGAAAAATTCTTGATGTAGAGGTGAATGAATCGATGTGGGTTATCCTCGACACTACAAGTTGGGAAAAATTACGTTTGCCTAGAAGGGAAAAAGCTGCATGGTGAGCATTCCTTTCTTGCGAACTGCTTTCCCTACATGAATGTGAGGTGAAGGAAAACAAGTGCAGGGAGGCCATAATCTGTTCGTCGGAAGTGAAAGACAACAACATGGTTTCGAACATGCTTGAGCTCTGCAGCGATATCTAGGTGTGTTAAACTCCACCATCAGAGAGTTACCCTGGAAACAAAGGAAGTTAAACTTAGATTGAGCTTCAATATTTCACGTGGAAGATAATAGACGCGTGAGGAACCTTGAGATATACTAGTAGTAGTAATAGAAAAGGGAAGAAACCTGAAAGCGACTCAAAAGTGAGCTCATGAGCCTTTCTTGATGTGACGTTATCAGTGGCTTTGGGTGGAGATCAAATAAAAGACCTGACAAGGTTTCGAAACGGAATCTGCGGTATGGATCAAACACTGCTGTAGACACTCGAAAAGCTTTATGTGGATCGACTTGGTGAACCATTCTGCATAAGAGGTACGGCAGGATGCTGATATAAATTCACACAGTAATATAACTCTTGTTTGTCCCTTTACCATCGCCATGAGAAAACATCTTTTGGAGCGGCACCATTCCATTAAGTTGTAGAAAAATCGACTCAAATTGCGTCTTCGGTGTATGTAGAGAATTCAAAGGACATTGCTAACAATTTGAAGCCAAAACTAAAGAAGATACTTAGAGGGAAAAGTGTATCCTTCTTGTTTTTTAGAAGTCACTGAAAGGCCGATTAACACAGTTCAAATGCATAGTGGTTTACACGTATCCATAGTGTGCTATTGCTAAAGTATTGCCGTCTGAAGTGCAGTTTTCGCCTCCAGCACATATTTGAGCTTTATGGTTTCTCGGAGTTTTGAGGAACATCTTTTTTCCATGTCCAATAATATGTCTATCATTAACACTGATGGGTTATCTTATTCGAGTGGAAAATTTGTCGACGGAGAAGTCGTTAACGATTCGGTGAATGCAAATAGAGTAATGGAGCTCACGAGGGAACCTTCGGTCAAGCAGTTTACCGTCTGCAAACAAATATCCCTGTATCGTGTGTTCACTTGAGGATCATATAAACTGGGATCTTATACTGGCGCTTCTAACTCAGAGTATGTTTTAACAGCAGGAGTCTGAATCGATCTTCACCAAAGACGGCCTCCGACTATTGTTTTGGAGAATGGTTTCCCACTACGCTTTTTCTGGCGCCAAATTCGTTTTCCTTTTGGATGACCTTGCACAAATAGATGACACTGGACCTACGTCGCAGTTCGACATCGAGAAATACCTCCATCCGTAATGAGGAGACAAACTAGTAGTTTAGACATTAAACAAATATTTCTTAGCTTATGGTGAGGTTTACTAATTGAGATAGAAATATTGCATTTTACAGACCTCTCATTACCTGATACATTTGCTCCGCAACACTTAAGTTTTAAAATCAACTTCTCGAAAAATGTCTGGCTGTTGATGGAAACCCCACTGTGATGCAAGTGTATTAAGATGTGGATTTATTAAATTTATACAATACATTATCCGTTCTGTTTGCTTCCTATGTGCGCTTTCACCAATCTGCTAGCTTATGATGTTTTTGGTAACTTCAGTGTTGCAAAAAATAAGAGCCATGAATCCACATTTGAGGCAACATCACCACAAGGTTGTTCTTGGTCTTCAATCTTTGTAATTTCTTAAAGATCCCGTAACTCCGTAAGACGAGGTCCTACGAGCGCGCTGACGCATAATTGCGCGAAATACTAGGCCGATTACTTTCGTCTACCTGGGTTGGTATTATCTAGTGGTGGATTCGTCTGAGGTAGAGCCGTTGAATACATAACTAGAACAAGTTTTTCTAGTGTCCTGGTTTATTTATCCTATTGGCTGAGCAGTATTTGTATACGGAACACTAGTGTAGGATTGTATCATAAACTTTGTTATGTGCATTTATAAAGTCTAGACAATATCTAGATCCCAGAAAGGTCAAATTGAGATGCGATTTATTCAGCCAAACATTTTCATATCCCTAGCAGATAAAACTTAACAAATAAATTTGTATTCGCATAAGAAACAGCTTCATTTAAA